CGTAAAATGAGCACCCGTGAACTGCAAAGCGTTTTTCCAATGTAACGTAATATCCAATGAACTTAGAGTGCGTGGCAACCAGTTTGACCATTTCGCCATGGCTGAATTTAAAATGATCACTTTAAGTTAATGACCCTCGCAGCATTTGAAATTATAATGCAAAGAAATAATGAAACAATTATTTGGGAGCAGCCGGTTGACCAAACTGACAACCTTACGTTTAGTGAAGAAACCAGGGAGGCGGTGGCTCGTTTTCTTCCTCGCTGCTGTTTATTTCTTAACAAATCAAAGGAAACATACTAGTTTTCTTGTTTAAAGAATAATAATTTTCTTCTTTATTTTCTTCTTCTTCTTCTTCTTCTTCTTCTTCTTCTTCTCTTCTTCTTCTTCTTCTTCTTCTTCTTCTTCTTCTTCCTCTTCCTCTTCCTCTTCTTCTTCTTCTTCCTCTTCTTCTTCTTCTTCTTCTTCTTCTTCTTCTTCTTCTTCTTCTTCTTCTTCTTCTTCTTCTTCTTCTTCTTCTTCTTCTTCTTCTCTTCTTCTTCTTCTTCTTCTTTTCTTCTTCTTCTTCTTCTTCTTCTTCTTCTTCTTCTTCTTCTTCTTCTTCTTCTTCTTCTTCTTCTTCTTCTTCTTCTTCTTCTTCTTCTTCTTCTTCTTCTTCTTCTTCTTCTTCTTCTTCTTCTTCTTCTTCTTCTTCTTTTCTTCTCTCTCTCTTCTTCTTCTTCTTCCTCTTCTTCTTCTTCTTCTTTTTCTTCCTCTTCTTCTTCTTCTTCTTCTTCTTCTTCTTCTTCTTCTTCTTCTTCTTCTTCTTCCTTCTTCCTCTTCTTCTTCTTCTTCTTCTTCTTTTTCTTCCTCTTCTTCTTCTTCTTCTTCTTCTTCTTCTTCTTCTTCTTCTTCCTCTTCTCTTCTTCTTCTTCTTCTTCTTTCTTCTTCTTCTTCTTCTTCTTCTTCTTCTTCTTCTTCTTCTTCTTCTTCTTCTTCTTCTTCTTCTTCTTCTTCTTCTTCTTCTTCTTCTTCTTCTTCTTCTTCTTCTTCTTCTTCTTCTTCTTCTTCTTCTTCCTCTTCTTTTTCTGCCTCTTCTTCTTTCTTCTTCTTTTTCTTTCTTCTTCTTTTTCTTTTTCCTTCTCCTGCATATTCTACTCAATTTTTAGTTTGTTTGTGATGCTATTATTTCACATTTTGGGCGGTCTTTCCTATTACATTTGGTCAATACATTTCTTGAGCGTAGCGGTCCCTAGCTCTGGGTACCAGGAGAGTCTACTCAGATGGCTAAACCACCTCAGTTTTAGGTCTTTAATTAACTCGGGAGCCGTGTTAGCGCAGTCGATAGGAGGCTCTCTTTTAAATCCAGCTGCGACTCGCTGTAGCCACGGTCGGTGCTCGAAACCCGGCGGTTCCCGGGGTTTAAGCAGCCTCTAGGAAATGGGTACCAGAGTGACACTCTGGGGTAAATGGAGGAACGTCGCTGTAGCTAGAGAGTTGCGTGCGGACGGCGACACAGGCGGACAGTTTCTTATCAGCTGTCCGTACTGGTAGCAGAGCACTTATGATTTATAGCTGTGTGCAATGACGCTGGTTCACATTTCCCGACTTTAGCTTTTTTAATTAACTGTGTGACTAGATTTACTCATAGTCTTCTATTTTTGTCTGTGGCTTAGACTTTGCTAACACGCATAATGCCGAAATGTCGGGGTTGATCCCAGGCGATTTTGTAGCAGGCCGCTTTGCGTCGGTTTCAGCAGTCGGATCGAGAGCCGACGGTTTAGTCAATGGCAAACTACTGAACGTAAACGTGCCTAGTAAAACCTCAAAGAGGCTGTTTCTGCAAGGTCCTGTAAAAAAAAAAAAAACACCAGAAACTTAAACCTTATAAAAATAAAAATAAAGCATGTAAAGTGAACACTTACAGTTAACAATCCGTTCCACCTTCAGAGCTGCAATTCGACGGAGTCATAAAACAATAATCAATGAAGAAACTAGTGGACACAAGTGCCAGCCTTGCATTTAGTAAAGAAGCCAGAATTAACGCTTCCTAAGTTGCATTGCTGGCAACGAAATGTGCCAACAGTCATCCGGATTGCAGAATTCAAACCGCCAATCGTCCACTCACGGTAAGAGAGGAGGAATGGGTACGTGGGCAATAGAAACTGTACGCTTAATGTTGCCTCTTTAGTGCCCGCTACGTCTTTTCCCTCATTGTCGCAGTATCCTTGGGGTTCCCAAAATAAAAGGGATCTAGGGCAATGGTGAGTGCTCAGTGGGGGTAAGAAGGCAGTGAGGTTTTTTTTTTTTTTTTTTGCGGTGGGAGCTAGGAAGAAATATGGGACATAAAAGAGTTCATAAAAGAGTGATTTTCATGTAGATCCGGGAGGGCCTTATTTTTATTTTTTTATTTTCTCCTTCTGCCAAAGGCTATTAAAAATAATTTAAATTTTCATACATAACCTTAGCGGGCCAAAGAAACTATTTACCTAGATAATTGTCCTGCTACATTTGGGCTAAGATTTAAATGCAGCTACTCGTTAGGGCAAGGCCAAATGATCTACTATGCCCTATGTGTTTACAGGGAAGTCGCCTTGGTGTAGTGGTTAGATGTTCGCCTGCGGGTCGGAAGGTCATAAGTTCGGGTCCTGAGGGAGCCTAATCATCAGTTTTCGTTATGCCTAGTGGCACATGAGGCTTCAGAGAGGACTTTCCATGCTTTCCTGTCCTGTGCAATCTTCAGTGCAGTTTTCTATGTCAAAGATGCCGCACTCAGGTCACTTTCCATCGTTCGTCTCCATGTTGTTTTTGGGCGCCCCTGTTTTCTCTTTCCCTCTGGTGTCCATGTGAGAGCTGTTTTGGCAGGTATATCAGAATTCATTCTCATAACGTGGCCAAGACATTTCCATATACTCTTGGTAATCATACTGTCTAAAGTTTCTTGGTTTGTGACTTGAAGTAGTCTAGTGTTTGAGATTGTATCTGGCCAGAAAAGTTTGATAATTCTACGTAGACATGTGTGGTAGAAAGTGGACAGCTTGTGTGCATCCTTTTTGGTCTTTCTCCAGCATTCCGCTCCATAAAGAACTGGCAAAATGATGCTCTTGTAAAGTCGAAGTTTCGTTCCTCTGCAGTAATTGTTGAATTTCCAGATTTGCCGATTTTGACAGAGCCTGTCATTTGTCAGAAATGACTTTGACTTTCAGGTCGACCCAGCCTTGAGTGGGTACAAGGACTTGGAAGTAAAGGCGGTCGGTGTGATGCGACCACATCACCCACCAATTGCTGAATGTTCTATAAAATATAGGTCCACTCCGCTATGTCTAATGTACACGAAGGCGTGCAAAAGCCCATTGCTTCACTTTTGTATGTGTCCTCAGATTGAACGTTGCCTACTGCTGACTGTATAACATTAACATTTCGTTGACAGAAACTCGTTTAAGACGAACACAATGTTGGTCTCAGCAGGGATTATTTTTATAACACATTTATTATTTTCAAGTCACCGCGACATTTTTAACGCGAACTCTTTTTTTTTTTTTTAATCTCGTTGAATTGCCGCTATCAATGTTTTGCTGTGGTGTCAAAATCAAGTTATAAATTTGTCTGATGTATTTTTGTCGTTCATAGCAGACAGACAATTCACGATTAGAAGCTCAAGTTAGCGATATATGTGTATGTATGTATGTATGTATGTATATATAAATGTATGTATGTATGTATATATAAATGTATGTATGTATGTATATATAAATGTATGTATGTATGTATATATAAATGTATGTATGTATGTATATATAAATGTATGTATGTATGTATGTATATATAAATGTATGTATGTATGTATGTATGTATGTATGTATGTATGTATGTATGTATGTATGTATGTATGTATGTATGTATGTATGTATGTATGTATGTATGTATGTATGTATGTATGTATGTATGTATGTATGTATGTATGTATGTATGTATGTATGTATGTATGTATGTATGTATGTATGTATGTATGTATGTATGTATGTATGTATGTATGTATGTATGTATGCATGCATGCATGCATGTATGTATGCATGCATGCATGTATGTATGTATGCATGTATGTATGTATGTATGTATGTATGTATGTATGTATGTATGTATGTATGTATGTATGTATGTATGTATGTATGTATGTATGTATGTATGTATGTATGTATGTATGTATGTATGTATGTATGTATGTATGTATGTATGTATGTATGTATGTATGTATGTATGTATGTATGTATGTATGTATGTATGTATGTATGTATGTATGTATGTATGTATGTATGTATGTATGTATGTATGTATGTATGTATGTATGTATGTATGTATGTATGTATGTATGTATGTATGTATGTATGTATGTATGTATGTATGTATGTATGTATGTATGTATGTATGTATGTATGTATGTATGTGTGTGTGTGTGTATGTATGTATGTGTGTGTGTGTGTATGTATGTATGTATGTATGTATGTATGTATGTATGTATGTATGTATGTATGTATGTATGTATGTATGTATGTATGTATGTATGTATGTATGTATGTATGTATGTATGTATGTATGTATGTATGTATGTATGTATGTATGTATGTATGTATGTATGATTGTATGTATAAACACACACACACTCACACACACACATATATTCAGAATTGTGGTTAAAAAGTTAGTGGAATCTTTGCAGAATTTAAAGATCGAAGCACCATAGCCGTATTGTTAAATATCAGATCCGAGCGTTTTGAAAAATTGCTGACAGTAAAATAGTAAAAAGACTGACATCCCCCCCCCCCCCCACCTTGTAATATTCTTGTGACCGTTGGTTAAACATGACTGCGCGGCGACCGGGTAACGAACTCCTTGTGGTTCGGGTTTTCTCACCTGGGGTAGGCGAAAAAGCCAAATTTCTCATAGATTTTTTATAGTATCTATCATAGAATTAAGGCCGAAGGGTTGTGATTTATATAGTACCCAGCGAAGAAGTTAAAAACTCATGATTTCTGAATATACAAAAAAAAAAAAAAAAAAGAACACGAATTTCAGAGGTAACATAGCCGTCTTTGTCTTGGGCGAAGCGTCATGACGCAGTTTCGGAACCACTGATAAAACGTTTTCCTGGTAGCACTTTCCAGCATGAATTCCAACACGAAAATATAATGAAGTAGAGAGATGCGGTCGTTAGGGCTCCTTTATATCAGCACCATCAGACGTGCCTTCAATAAGTAAAAAGGTGAAGGTCCCTTTTCCACGCCCTTAGGCGTACAGGGCGTATAAGGCTAGACCTAATTTTTATAGACCAATCGGCACAAGATGGGTGATGTGGTCAGCATGACGCCGGCCGTCTTTACTTCCCGGGACTGCACCCCGTACCCACTCAAGGCTGGGACGACCTGGGTGTCAAGGTTACTTTTCAAAAAAGTCCAGCTTCGCCAGGGAGCGAACCCACGACCTTCCAATCTGCACGCGAGCGTCTAGCCGCTCCGCCACGGGGACTCGCTGTGTCTAAAATGCTTAATGGTATTTAGGTTTTACAGGTTTTGAACAACAGATCAACCTCCGTTCTTCTTCTAACTCAAGTCTGAGTCCGAAGAAGCTCAGCACAGTGCACAAGCTCTGTAGCCCCAACGAGGATACTGAAATAATTTGGGTAGATTTTTTCTCAAAATTTTGCCTTAGCGGCGCCTTTAGGTTACTCTTTTCGATTTCCATACAAAGCATACATGGAAAGAGAAGAAGGACGTAGAGCACGGGGTAGACCAAGAACAAGATGGAAGGATAACATCAGAGAAACTATACAACAGCACGATGTGCCTATGGTCGAGGCAGCCAAAAGAGCTAGAAACAGAACCTTATATCTCCATCGACACCCACAGCGGTAAAAGAGGAAGTGAAGAAGAAGAAGAGGGGATTGTTTACGTGCGCAACAATACACACGGGCGTCCTAATCCAGAGACCAGGGGGAATTACTAGAAGTCCAAGTCAACGTCAAAAAAAAAAATTCCAGCCCTTACCGGGGATTGAACCCCGAACCTTTAGCATTCGAGGCGGACACCATGCTTAGTGACCACACAGCCAATTAATGGTATTTAAAAAAAAAACTTAAAGGTCCTTTTTAGCGCCATCAGGCATTTGGGTATATAGGGCTAGACCTACATTTTAAAGACCATGGGCAGTCGGTTGATGGTGTGGTAAATATAATTCTGACCGCCCTTACTTCATAGGACTGCACCTGATAGCCATTTAAAGCTAGGTCTAACTGGGAACCAAAATAATTTTATTTTGACAAGAATCTGGTGGCAAAGTCTAATGCTACACCACGACGACTCCCATTTAACGGTATAGTACTGCATAATCATCATCATCCTGTCTTGGTGTATGTCACATAGGGCGAGCAATCTAGTCCCTCATTCCATTCTGTTCTGTGCATCTAGTCCTCCATTCCATTCTGTACTGTGCATCTAGTCCTCCATTCCATTCTGTTCTGTTCGTATAGTCCTCCATTTCATTCCATTCTGTTCTGTACATCTAGCCCTCCATTCCATTCCATTATATTCTGTACATCTAGTCCTCCATTCCATTCCATTATGTTCTGTAATCTATTCCTCCATTTCATTCCATTCTGTTCTGTACATCTAGTCCTCCATTCCATTCCATTCTGTTCTGTACATCTAGAGTTCCATTCCATTCCATTCTGTTCTGTACATCTAGTCCTCAATTCAATTCCATTCTGTTCTGTACATCTAGTCCTCCATTCCATTCTGTTCTGTACATCTAGTCCTCCATTCCATTCCATTCTGTTCTGTACATCTAGAGTTCCATTCCATTCAATTCTGTTCTGTTCTGTACATTTAGTCCTCAATTTCATTCCATTCTGTTCTGTACATCTAGTCCTCCATTCCATTCTGTTCTGTACATCTAGTCCTGCATTCCATTCTGTTCTGTGCATTTAGTCCTCCATTCCATTCTGTTGTGTACATCTATTCCTCCATTCCATTCTGTTCTGTGCATCTAGTTCTCCATTCCATTCCATTCTGTTCTGTGCATCTAGTCCTCCATTCCTTTCTGTTCTGTGCATCTAATCCCCCATTCCATTCTGTTTTGTACATCTAGTCCTAAATTCCATTACATTCTGTTCAGTACATCTAGTCGTCCATTCCATTCAATTCTGTTCTGTACATCTAGTCCTCAATTCCATTTCATTCTGTTTTGTACATCTAGTCCTCCATTCCATTCCATTCTGTTCTGTGCATCTAATCCCCCATTCTATTCTGTTTTGCACATCTAGTCTCTCATTCAATTCTGTTCTGTACATCCAGTCGCCCATTCTATTCTGTTCTGTACATCTGGTCCTCTATTCCATTCCATTCTGTTCTGTACATCTAGTCCTCTATTCCATTCCATTCTGTTCTGTACATCTAGTCCTCTATTCCATTCCATTCTGTTCTGTACATCTAGTCCTCCATTCCATTCCATTCTGTTCTGTGCATCTACCAAAACACACACAAAAGTACCAATTTTTTTTTTTTTTGGGGGGGGGGGGGGTGTGTGTGTGTGTGGGGGGGGGGGGCAGGAGTTACCAAAACATAAAAAAATATAACTTTTTTTTTTGTTTAAAGAGAAAAGCTATCACAACACACAAAATAGTATCAATATTTTTAAAGAAAAAGGTAATACAAAATTAACCCAAAATAGTTTTACTACAACACCGTTAAAACGGCTTTGGAACACAAATGTGTACAAATAAAACTGGATTTCTTTTAATATGTCACAACATTCTTCGAAAACAACGGAATCAGAAAAGTTTGCACATCACATCAACTGAAATGTTAAACTGCGAGTAAAGACATGAAAGAGAACCATCTGCCAGTTGCTCCAAGCTGAACCAAAATCGGACTTGAATATTCACATCAAATGATAAATTTGCATCAGCAGTTGTATCATGCTTTTTTTTTTTTTTTAGTGTTCAATCACTATTTTGTTGTGAAAGGTGTAACGCAATGCCAACCTTTTAAATATAGTTGACAAATTTTGAAAACGAACCAAATATATCGGGTCTGGTACCCAAACTACAGTTTTTCAATGCATGTTTAAAAAAGGACAACAGTTAGACGGAAAAAAACAGCTTCGGCAGCCCTACCCCTTCTCCCACTTTTTTTCCGGTTATAGGGTGCATTCAAACATTTAACAATGGTCCGGTAAGCTGCCGTGCTGGCAGCGACCGGGCTCTAAATGTCCCTTACAGAAAGATAATTTCCCTCTGATTACGTTTTATCCGGTGACGTTATTACCAGTTGTCAAATAACGATAGCAGCTGAGGCTGTATCTTTTTCGCAAAAATAAATGTGATTGCATGTGATTCAGGAGAAAGTGAAACCAGGCTTAGATAAGGATATTTTCGGGCAGTAATGAGGGTTCTAAGTTGACGATCACATGGCAGCGATTAAATGATCTGAGATGACCAAGTTGATAAAAGCAGATAAAAAAAAAAAATCTTTTGATGAAAACTCCACGAAAAACACTGAATGAAAGCATGTAATATACCCAACGATGCGAACGCTTCGAAATGCCGGGGTGCCGAGTTCGATCCCAGTTGCGGCCATGCGCCTTGCGTTGGTTTCAATTGTGGTATCAAGAAAGCCGACCGTTGAGGAGCAATGGCAAATGCTGGACGTAAACTTTGCCTAGTAAAACCACAACAGCCACACATATAAATGTTAGGGTTGGTTCTGCAACGTCATGGAAATGATACACAGCTAAAATGTATGTCCATTAAATACTTCATTTATAATAACAGATAAAAATGTCGGTAATTTCGATTACAGTGTGTAGAAGAAATCGTGATGTATTGAAGTAAATCATCGACATTCAGCAGACTTTTAGAGAAATCAGACCGATTCCTTAGACTTGTAATTCATACATAAATGATAGAACAATACTGGCAGATGAATAACGGGATTTACTACCAATCGCACGTACGACTAAATAAAAGGTAAATACAGAAATCAAACTACATGATAGTGTCAAAAAAGAGGTTCGTACCGTAAAGTTTATGTTATGTTTTTGTTGCACATTATGTTCAATAATTAAACGTAAATGTATCGCATTTTTGTGCTTTATGTTCACATTTTAAAAACCCGTTTGAATGAAAACAGTTTTGAAAAAATAAATTCTCATCACGACCAGTTTGATATACGACCTGTTAGTTACTACAAGACTCTGTGGTAAGTCGAGAAGACCTTAATTAACACTGTTAAACACACACATACACACACACACATACGCATACACACACACACTCACGTACTCACACACACACACACACACACACTCTCATAGACACACACATATATATATACACACACACTCACACACACACACATACACACACATTCACACACACATACAAAAGGAATCACAAAAGAGTCTTCATACGGTCAATGCCGTGTGGCGTCACTCGCCATGTCTGCTCGCCACCTTCTGTCTTATGCACTAACCATCATTTGACTGGTATTGTTCCATGACATCACACCTAACAGTCTATCACAGTGGCGAGGCGTTAGAAGGTTATGATTACACTAGAGGGTATCACGTGATTTTTATTTCTCCTTGTTGCTTCGCTGTTGACTGAGTATGCGTGAGCAGCTAGCATAGTAGTAACAGTAGCTGGCATTTTCCCAGACTTTACAGTTACTGTATGAGAGGCGTAATTATGCAGCGAGCGTTCTTTTCGGTACGTTCGAGATTTTAAAAGAGTGGCATATTTGTAATTAATAGTTAAAGAAAAGGACCCTTTTCCACGCCTTTTAGACGTACTGGGTATATAGGTTAGGTGCGTATCCTTTACAGGACGTTGCAGAACCAACCCCAACAGCCCCTGGCTGTTGTGTGGTTTTTCTAGGCAAATTTACGTCTAGTAGTTCGCCATTGCTCTGGACGGTCGGCTTTCTTGATACCACTGTGGAAACCAACGCAAGGCGCATGGCCCGCAGCTGGGATCGAACCCAGCATACCGGCATTACGAAGCATTCGCATCGATTTAGCCACAGAGCCGACGGGAATATAGGGCTAGACCTATATTTTATAGACCAAACGACACGATGGGTGCTGTGGTCAGCATCACGCCGGCCGCCCTTACTTCCCAAACCCATTTAAGGCTGAGACGACCTAGAATCCAAGGTCATTAAAAAAAAATCCTGCCCTCGTCAAGTATCGAACCCACGACCTTCCGAGCCGCAGCCTAGCGTCTAGCCGCTAGACCAAGGAGGCTTCCGTAATTATTAGTCTATAGTAGCAAAAAAGAATTGTAAATAGGGCATGTATTTTTTTTTTTTCAAATAGAGAGTTTACGCTATGGTTACCGCTGTTACTTGCACGTATCGTCAGGGGTATATTATCTTCTCTCGTCTTGATTGACATTACATCTTTCTTTTCCCTTCTAACATTTCTAACTTTTAAAATGCTCCCGTTGTCCCATTTCACGATGCCTCTGAACATAATATGTTATTTTCCTCAATTTCAGTTTCTGGGGTACAAGTAATTATTGATTAGTGATTTAAGAATCAACGCTACAGCAAATCAGAATGTTTATAGATGCGCCGTCACACGCAGCAAATTGCTTAGAATCTAGATACTGGAACGAACGAATCGACGAAAGAACAGACTTTATTATCTTATCAACGGGTTAGGAATTGGGCACTCAGGCTTTCTAACATTCTGCCCTTCTTGTCCACTTCCTGTATACAGTTATTCGTTCGTACATCAATTCATTTTTTTTAATGGATGATCGAGTAGCACACTGGTTAAACGCATGTTCTACTCTCAGATATCCTGTTTCGCTGTATCCAAACATATTCACAAATCCTTGCAACCTTACACTTATTAATTCATTTAGAATTGCATCTTCCAGATTCGTTTCAGTTTCCACCAGTAGTGTGAGTTGGAGTTTCATAAATAAGAACACAATGTAGATACCCATGATAGAATAGTGAGAAGGGCAACATCTGACATTTTCTTTTTCTTGGGCTTTAAACTCTAACAAAAAGTGTGCAGCTCTTCGTCCACTTCTAGACCTTCGTCTTGTTCCAGAAGTTTTGCATGCACTTCAGTTTTACGGATTAGGTCTAATTGTATGCAGACTGTTGGTTCTTTGTCTCTGACGAAGAAATATATCTTATTCTTAATTAAAGGTAACTGTTGTAATGTCCTGGCTAAGGCGATAAAGTAGGTCCCCACAATTACGTTGCAAAAAGAAAAAAAAATATGTGATTATTAACAGCATCCTTCTTCTTGGGTTTATAACAGGGCCTCATGGGGTAGGGGGGATGTGTACCCACTGACCCACACCTAGCATGCCGTAAGAGGTGAAAAAAGGGTTTTGCTAAAATCATATGTGTTGACCAGAAAGGCCAAGTTGATAGCAGCTTAGCTGTAACCCACCGAACCGACTGCCCTGTCAGGAGTGAACAATGAAAACAGCATACTCCCACAACTTTGGCGTCGGCTGGCAACACGATACAGATGCAAGAGATCAGCTCAGATAGCACAGGCAGATGCCCTGTTTACCGGAAACATACACAGTAACTGCATTAGAGACCAGACAGTCACAAATCACACTGACAGTGTTCAATCCAAGTAACAAACCTCTATGATAGAAGAATTCACACTGCCCAAACAATAAACAGTTGTTGGCAAATTTTGACTTAACTACCACTAATCTCTCTCTCTCACTCTCCTCTCTCTCTCTCTCACTCTCTCTCTCTCACTCACTCTCTCTCTCTCTCTCTCTCTCTCTCGCTCGCTCGCTCTCTTTCTCTCTCTCTCTCTCTCTCCTCTCTCTCTCTCTCTCTCTCTCTATATATATATATATATATATATATATATATATATATATATATATATATATATGTATATGGCAGGTGGTTAGGAAGGAATCCCTTACATCGGACAAGCAGAGCACTGCTTTTCTGACTCGACAGCTTCTGTAACCTGTTTTGTTCCAAGCGTACTGTGTTATCCTTACTTAGGAATAAACAACTTTGGGATCATATTTCATGAGCAATTCGTCTTTATAATACTGCCGAGGCCGTGTACTATTAAAAAAGGATACGATCCCATGCTTCTCTAAAGCACTATGTAACACCATGGTCTGGAAAAACGGAAAGGTGTCAGAAAGAACACTAAATGTATACACAGACACATCTAGTGCGGAGTTGGTATATGTTGTCACAAAGACACTAAAGGATTCATGATAAATTATTTCCTAATCAGGTGATCACATAGATTATTATAAGTTAGTACTGAGAAAAGAAAAGAAAACTAATGTTTACCACATAAAGCGCAGCAGTGTATGGGACAGGTGGACAGACAGACAGACACGAGGGCAGATTAACAGACTGCAAGATCGATGTTATCTTGCCAGATAGCTAAACTAACGCAAACAGCCCTATTACTAGGTTAGTTAGTTGCGTATACAGGACGTTGCAGAACCAACCCGAACAGCCCCTGGCTGTTGTGTGGTTTTTCTAGGCAAATTTACGTCCAGTAGTTTTCATTCCTCTCTGGACGGTCGGCTTTCTTGATACCACTGTCGAAATCAACGCAAGGTTCATTGCCCGCAGCTGGGATCGAACCCGGCATCCCGGCATTACGAAGCGTTCGCATCGACTTAGCCACAGAGCCGACTCGATTTACTAAACACTGACGAAATCGACGTTCTTCCCCTTCAGTGTTGCAGTCCGCACCTCAAGGATGACATGTACAAAACTCCTGTAAGCCCCGTTCAACCCTATGATTATATTAAAGTCGCCCCCGCCCCCTTTTCCACCCCTTTTTTCCAGCACCCCCCCCCCTCCCCGCCCCGCCCCTGACGGTTTCCAAGTAGCCTGAAGTCACGACCAAGTTGGGATCTAAAAAAGCGACACACATACCTATTATGAGGGAGTCGCCGTGGCGAAACGGCTAGACGCTCGCATGAGTATCGGTAGGCTGTGGTTCGCTCTATGCAGTAGCCGGAAATTTTTCAAAAAGGAGCTTGACTTCCAGGTCGACCCAGCCTTCAGTGGGTACCGGGTGCAGTCCCGGAAAGTAAAGACCACTTATGTGATGCTCACCACATCAACCATCTTGTGTCGATCAGTCTATAAAAATAAAGGTCTAGCCCTATACGCCTAAAGGCGTGGAAAAAGGACCTTTACTGATTTTATACCTTATATTCCCTTATGGACAGAGTGTATAACCCAGAAACATAAGTTTTGACAGACAGAGACTTAAACAGATCGACTCATAGACAGTCTTACAAACAAAGGTGTCAGAAGATATAATAAATAGTATTGGGCAGAGAGATAGGACAGATAAACCATTAGAGGTAAAACAGCTCGCTATTTAGGTCACATGTGTGTCTATATCACATGTGTCTATTCAAAGCTGCTGCTTTATCAGATTAAGATCAAGTAAATCTACTTCGTGGCACCAGGTTTATCCCATTTGGGCTGGACCTCTTTCTGCAGAATCTCTAATCACCTGCTTAATGCGTCAAACACAGCACAAACTCTATCGCTCTAGTGATAATCCTAAAACATGTATCGGTAAAACCCAAAATGCTTTCTTTGTGTCGGCAGTACTTTTGCTTGCCTTACAGTCAAGTCTATAACCACGGAGTTCCCTGTGTGGGATCTGGGGATCCAGTGTAAGAAAAGCAAAAATATACCCACTGCTTTTTCAACAAATGAGTCGAAATTAGTCGAATGAGTCGACTAATTTGGAGTTACCTTCAAAGTAGGAGCGCATCTGCCCCAGCGGCAAGGAGCAAACAACTAGACATAAAAAAGCCAGTAAAACAGGTGTATGTACATGCAAAACTCAGGACCTATCACAAAGCTTAAGTTGAACTAGACGAATAACCAGGACATTCCACAGGAGCTTACAGGTGGTAAACAAAGAAGAAGAGGAAGAAGACCACAGAGCCGTAAGGCAAGCGAGCTTGCAACTGATCCATCATGACCTGATACGACACGACCTAAATATCACGGAGCCACTCACCTTCAACCCTCAAGCCATCGTTCCGGGAACAAAACACTTCTCTGGAATAGGTCAGCTTGTTCCAATCGGTGGTAACCCACTGGAAGTGAGAGCAGAATTCAGCTTGACAGGTGCGATCCTCCCACAGGGATCCATCACATGGTGGGTTGTTGGATGAGGGATATGCGAGGATGGCTCGCGATCTGGCTTGGACTCCAACTGTGAAGCCTGAATGAAGGTGATAGTTGCAACGTTGAGAAAGAATATTTCAGGAAAGCCTTGTTTTAAGCACGCGTCTCTACAAAAAATTTTCTCTGTTCGCTTCTCTCTCTCTCTCTCTTTCACTCTCTCTCCTCTCTCTTGCTCTCTATTTTGCTTTCTCTCTCTTGCTCTAGTCTCTCTCTTTCTCTCGGACGCATTCTATATATCTGTCTCTCCCATATTTCTCTTTCAGACACAGATACACAAAGAAACATGCATACACATCTTTATTATATATAGATCATTTCCTCGTGTGGCGTAAAAGACAATATTTTAAACCGAAAAAAAAAAATAAGATAGGCGGGAGAGGGAAGGGGGTGTGGGGGGGGGGGGCGCAGAGAAAACATACACAATGACCCCTAAGAAGCATACTGTTAAAGGCGAATAAAATGGAGTTGGTTAAAGCGATTGCATTGGGCAGAGAGCCTACCTGAAAACCATAACTAAAAGAAGAAGAATAAGAAGAAGAAGAAGAAGAAGAAGAAGAATAAGAAGAAGAAGAAGAAGAAGAAGAAGAAGAAGAAGAAGAAGAAGAAGAAGAGAAGAAGAAGAAGAAGAAACAAGAACAAGAAAGAAGAAAAAAGAAGAAGAAGAAGAAGAAGAAGAAGAAGAAGAAGAAGAAGAAGAGGAAGAAGAAGAAGAAGAAGAAGAAGAAGAAGAAGAAGAAGAAGAAGAAGAAGAAGAAGAAGAAGAAGAAGAAGAAGAAGAAGAAGAAGAAGAAGAAGAAGAAGAAGAAGAAGAAGAAGAAGAAGAAGAAGAAGAAGAAGAAGAAGCAATTCGTTGGTTTCTGTGTCTTAGAGACTGGGAACATATTCTTACAAACTCAGTATACTGGGGTTCGATGTCAGCTGCAAGCATCACGTAGCTGATCGCATTGCTTTAACTTTTTTCTAAAACGGGTTATTGATCTTCAACTCAGTGTCCACCTACCACGCTTTTCTGATGTAACTTAGTATTCATATTATGTATATTGTTATGAACTTTGAAAGCATTATGCATGAAACACAACTTCTGTGTGAAAGATAAGTGGCTATAAAGGCCAAATGTACGACAGACCCGAGCCATCAGTGTGACCCATGGAAAATAAATTCCTACTTCGATTTCCCCAGTCACTTCTTCTGGGTAATCAGTCTTGCGGGTGGGTTCTAGTGGGTGTTGATTCTCGATTTACGTACTGCCTGCTTGGGGGTACCTGTTTACTCTTACTATGTATATTTATATATATAGCCGCGAGAACAAAACTTCTCCCTGCTATATAGTTTTATAAAAACAAGTATCTTTTGACATAAACAATTTCTTCCATCGACTTGCTTTCTGTCAATTTAGATTGAATTTGAATTCTGAATCTGAATTCTGAATTTGTATTCCTTATTTATTGTGATCTAGAATGTAAAAGCCTAACAATTCACACATCTTCTTCTGTTTTCTAGGCGATGCTAGGTTTCTTTGTCCCGGTGTTAGGTTTTGATGAGGCGTGTGTGCTGCGTAGATGCAGGTATGCACGAATTAGATATCCCATCTATCCATCGCTTTTGAAGCCGACCTCTAGATTTACTTCTGTAGAGCCTAATTGCCCGGGCTTTCTCTCTGCACTATCTTGTGGTATTCTCGATGAAAGCATAAACCATTTGATCTGTTGTCCCCTGATGAATCGTTTTCTCCTAAGTCTGTTTTTAAGAATGTGATTTTTTACAGTTAAGTTGCGTTATCTGCGCTTTACGGCCATCCCATCCGATTTAAGCGAAGTCACTTTATGTAGTTTAGCAGTGTTTCCGTCTCTCCATTTGCTTCCTGAAATAGTCGTTATCATATTCTACCTATTCTCAACACGTCAACAACCGCGCATGCCACGGAACTAACTGCACGTTTAATTATATACACACTATTTAGCTGTTGGGGGGTCGCGGGGCCGAGCGGCTAGACGCTCGCCGAGGATCGGAAGGTCTTGGGTTCGCTCCCAGGAGGAGTCGGAATTTTTTCGAAAATGACCTTGATTCCCAGGTCGACCCAGCCTTGAGTGGGTACCGGGTGCAGTCCCGGGAAGTAAAGGCGGCCGGCGTGATGCTGCATCACCTATCTTGTGTCGATTGATCTATAAAAATATAGGTCTTGCCTTATACGCCTAATGGCGTGAAAAGGGTCCTTTACTTTTTTTTCACTTTATTTCTCAGTTGAATACATGAAATTGCCCTTCGAAAACAGCAAGGCCAGTGTGATATTCTGGCAGATGGCGAGACAATGTAAGAACAATGTCTTACCCTGATCGAAGTCCTCACAGCTGATGAAACATTGCGACCAAGTGGACCACTCCGACAATTTGCATTCTCCAGGACAAGGCACATGGCAAGGACGGGAAGTCTGAAGAAAAAGAACAACAAGTCTGAGATTTAAAAGAATTAATGAATCAAGAATCGACAACTTTGTACTCGGGAATTCCCATATGTGCGTTATCTCCCTCCTCAAAAGGCAACGAAGAGTTCCCATTCTAATGGTGGCAGTTGCTACTGGATTTGAAATTAGCCAGCTTTTTCCTTTGCGGGTAGTTAATTGTCAGCAAGGCCTCAAATATACAGAGGTAAAACTGTAAAGGATTTCGTTGCTATACCACTATTTTGAAATGGGAATAAGGGAGCATAGTTTATATATATATATATATATATATATATATATATATATATATATATATATATATATATATATATATATATATATAATATATATATATATATATATATGTGTGTGTGTGTGTATATATATATATATATATATATATATATATATATATATATATATATATATATATATAAGGCATATAGGGCTAGAACTATATTTTATAGATCAATCAGCACAAAAAAGCACCCCCCCCCCCCTCCGCCCATCGTCAGCAGCAAACAAAGAGTTCTAATTCCGATAGCACCTGTAACTGTCTGATTGTATATCCGTCTCACCCTTATCTTGAGTGTTAAGCGTCGAACAGATCCCCTGATAACTCCTCGCAGCGCCATTCTCCTCAGACCGTAATGATCTTCCGCACTGTTCACTCGCTCCAAGAGAGCCCTCACAACGTCTAGCTTGTCATTTAACAATTCACCACCAATTGGTAGTATTAGTAGTCGATTTCTACCCCCCCCCCCAGGACATCACACAAGCGATAAACACCCGATGACACAAAGTGCCACCATGTGGATGAGGATCACCCGTGGTTAGGTCCAGGGTAGGGCTTATAACAACGAAAAATTGCATCTTACAAAGAGTTGACTAGATGTATACCAATTGGTGCAGAGCCGGTCAGTCTATCTGCCTGCTCATTTTCACTGATGTGCTCAAAGCAATGATTTAATACATACAGACAATTGAGCTACCTCGGCTTACTCGGGTAGAATGATGCTGGGCCAAACTGCACGAAATAGATGATGGGCTCTGTCTAATTATGTAAACCAAAATACGTTTTGTCATACAGTAAAACTCCTAAAGGAGGCAAGAATTTGATGCTGGTATGGTTTGATATGAGGGTTCCGGGGCCCAGTTATGTGAAGAAAAAGAACATACCCAAAAGCATGTCGTAAAAGGCTACTAATTAGGGGTGTTACCTTCAAAGTCTCGGTGCACTGCACGAGAAGCGAGGAACCAACAGTCTAGATACACACACACAAAAAAGATAGATCCGTAAAACGAATAAACATACAAAAGTCCATTTTTGGAACAAAATCAAACTTGAAAAGTGGACGAGCAACTAGTAATTTCCGCCGCTGATTACACTTGGTGAACGCCTACAAGAAGAAAAAGTACTATCAAGTCCAATACGTGGGTGGGAAAAGATGCCTCCGTTGTCATTAGATAACACTTCATAAGTCCTTATCATGTCTTCGGGCTTAAAAAGAGGAAAGGCGTCGTAGAATGTTGAGCTTCAAAGTTATTTCTGGTTCCGACAGCGCTTTGCTAATGCAGTTTCCACACATGCATGGTAGTCTACGGTTCCGCTGTCTGAGCTACTGGTTGGGTGCCTGGTTGCAGCCCTGTGAGCTGTGTTTTTTCTGTGGAATGCCTTTCATTTGTTCAGCGAATGTGTCGTAGTATTCAGTATGGCCGGCATTCGGTTTACGTGCCAGATGGTAAAAAACCTTATGTAATATTTCTTCGTGTGTATAGTAGCCAACTTAACGTGCCCGACTATCCATAAGAGACAAACAGCATTTCTGGTTGCGATTGTTGACTTTGGCGCTTTTAGCAACTGAAATACGCATTTACTGCACATTTTTCTGGATTGTTCCGGGACTAGTTTGTTCACCAGTTTCTCAAATGAGACAGTGAGGGGCGTTTCATTTGATTCGCACTGGCACAGGAACGGAGCGAATACGCAGAGACTCGATTGCGGCGATGTTGAAACCTCTGCTAAGACTAAGACTATCACGTCTGCCATTTGTTAAAGCACAAATAAAAATTATAAAAAAAAAAAAAAAAGAGAATCTGTGGAATAAATAGAAGACAGACATTGGAAAAATATAAGCCGCGATGAAAATCATGAATAAATTGCTGAAGTGGGGTAATAAGTTAATGGCAATTCAGCATGAGGTTTAAAAGTGTAGAGATGAGAGGACCGAGTTCACTGCACCGTGTATTTTTTCGCACGGGTCAGTCTGTCTGAGCAGAATGTCTAGCCTCCTACCGAGAGCGTCGCACAAATTACGATCTCCACTGCCCAAGCGACGATCCTCACGGATGTCCTTTAAAAATGAAAGCATTACAAAACCGAACGACGCAGTCCATGAAACGAAAACTGAAGATACGTTATCACAGTTAGCGTCATTGCACATGAAGCATTCCCATGCGTGCTCAGTCCTCCAATGCAGCAGCCACGTCCACATACCTTTCCTAACTGTTCCCACGAGGAGCTGGTTGTAATGTCTCCTATCTCGTCTCCTTGCTGTTGGCATCAACGTGTCTAACCATGCTTTGGGAGAACACAGAAAAAGACACTGATACAAATTGAAGGATAAAATAACGTGATGGGCGAATAGATTTCTCAGAGACCCCAGAACCGCAGGATGACAGATAGAAAGTTCTGGAGACATTCCTAGCCAGCAGGAGAAGATGAAGGCCCGGGAGCCATGACCCAGGTTGGACAACCCTCTGAGGTTGTCTAGGAGATTGTGGACTCTTGCTGTAAATACTGCCCTGTGGAGTTCTTCTTATTATAGACACGACAGTTGATTGGAGTGTTAAGTACTAACCTGCATGATAAGTATTTCAGGCTTAATGTCACACAGAGAAGGTACAACAGATCTGCCTTCGTCGTTGAGGCAGGAAACGTTTCTCTCCCGTTCACCGCTTCCACATGCGCCGTTCTACAGGAAATAAACAGGACAGCTGTCAACTTAGATACAGGTTCAAATCTTTGAGGACACGTTGGCTTACCTATGATCCAGATTCAAAACATTGTTTTCCAGTTGTCGGTGTTAACTCTGAGACACCAGCTGTACATTGTCAGAGCATTCTCAATTAAAATGGATAATCTCATGTTTTGTCAACGAATTCGCTGTTGGGTTTTTGTGCCACAATGTGTATGTGTGTGTGTGTGTGTGTGTGGGGGGGGGGGGGGGGGTAGCGGTGGGGGATGGGCCCTTGAAGTCCTTAGCATACTAAATGTATGTGATGGCAACAAAGGTGCTGAAATTCAAAAGGTTTTTTGTGTGCAAGACTTTCCCAACCCGAGTGGGCCTTACTAATCTCGCGATGGATATGGGCTGGTATTGTCAAGCTTCCATACATCACAATAAAACACTATCGCCTTGAAAGAGGACAAGGTGCTAAACAGAACGTATGTACACATGCTTATTTTTAACCAAGATGGCTAACATCCATACAGCTACGAAAGCCTGCTACTCAATGATCGAACCAAGAGAGAATCATCGTCACCGAAAGCAAAATGTTGAATTAGGAATCGACATCACAGCACCCGGGCAATCACATAAGCAAGCGCTCAGTTCCCATTTTCAGCTGCGAGCAAAGAGTTTAAATTCCGAATGTACCAGTAACTGTCTGATTGGAAATCTGTCTCACCTTTTCCTTGAGTGTTGAGCGTCGGCCACATCCGTTGCTAACTCCTCGAAGCTTGTCATACTTCAGTTTACAACTAACTAGTGTAGAACCAGCTAGTCTTTCTGCCTGCTTGTTTTCCAACACATGGATATAACATAGAAAAAATATCCAATGGACGCTAACTACCCGGGACGTCTGAAGCAATGCTTTCCACTCTTCACGGAGCATGCTTACCTCCATCTTTCACCGCATGCTCTGTGAATCAGCTGCAGTTACGACATGTGAGTACAGCTCATTCTCAAGCCAGTGGTAGGCAGTAATGGATGCCTTTCCAATATTCTCAAAACAGATGATATCAAATTACAGGCTTTGTTGCACTAAGCGACGTCATTGTCGTTTGCAATAAACCCTCATGGACTTCGTCTGCCTCTCAACACAGTCAATTGTATAGATGATCATATGACCTGCCGGGCTCGATAACGTAGTTGGTTTAACCTGACTTCGTAGCGACCGGGTGATGAACCCCTTATGGTCCGGGTTCGCGCCCGGAGATAGGCAGAAAAACCACATTTCTCCCAGATTTATGTATCTATTCTCGAATCAAGGCCGAAGGGTTGCGATATCCATAGTACCGAGTCAAAGGTTTAACAACTCATGGTTTCTGGATTTAAAAAAAAAAATATCACCTAGGCGGGAATTGTCAAGAATCTTTCATGAACTTCTGTTTCTGCAGCACCAGCTGGCCGGTCCCTGCATTTACGGCCTAAAATGAAACATCTTTATCAAACCCACCAAACAGGATCTGAAGTTGTGTCACTCACCTGAATGATGCAGTGACTCCACTCTGAGACAAACCAACTGTAGCAGCCTTTACGGAAGCACGGCTTGGACTGGTCCAGTTTTTCTGGACACTTCCTACCACTGCCAATCGGCGTTTGTAGAACGGAGCGTCTTCTTTTGGTGAATCCTGGATTAACAGTAAAAGCACAGTAAAAATAAGCACTCCTATTGATATTGAAATATTGATCCTCCTGAGCAAATAGTTATAAAAATTATGTGGATTCGAAATATTTCTTTATCTCTCTCTCTCTCTCTCTCTCTCTCTCTCTCTCTCTCTCTCTCTCTCTCTCTCTCTCTCTCTCTCTCTCTCTTGCTCTCTCCCTCGCTCCCCCCCTCTTTCCTGTTTTTGTAGTATCTACTTTTCTTCCTCCCTCCCTCCCTCTCTTTGCCCTTGCTTATTCCTCCCATTCTCAAAATCTACCTTTCTCTCACGCACTCTCTACCCCTCCCTTTCTACCATCATTCTTGCTTTCTGTGCACGCATCTACTTCTCTCTCTCTCTCTCTCTCTCTCTCTCTCTCTCTCTCTCTCTCTCTCTCTCTCTCTCTCTCTCTCTCTCTCAAATGGGTCAGTTCATCTACCTGTGTTTCCAGTTCACTTATGCTAACTCGACCCCCTTTCACATTGGGATGGCGTCTACCGGCAATGCAGCAGTGAAGGTAAGTAAGTAAAATCATTGAGCAACAAAACTTGAATTTATTATGTTTATGCAGTGGTAAACCAGCCTCTTGTTACACGGTAATAGGACTCATCCTTCCTGAAAAATTAGGTACCTCCACAAACTCTATCACAATGCATAGAGCGTGGAGTAAAAAGCAGATGAACAGATATGGAATGGCCTGTTTTTCCTTTCTGCGAATGAACTTGTGTTTTTGTTTTTTTGCTATTCTATGAGCTCAACGGCCAGATTATATAGTAATTTTACATTAGGATAGTCATTTTTCATCAACCTCACGGGCCAGGTACAATTACTTAGCTGGCTAGTTTTTTACAGGAGGGCCATAGTGTGCCCACTTCTGGTATAAGGGAAAGACTGAGCAGGGAAAAGCCGTTACTGACCTAGTCCACATGTAGTACTGCATATTGTCCATTCCGACCAGTCGGATAGCAAACAGTCGTTATCACAGGGGATCTCACAGGACACGACCATAGGTTCTGTCACAGGTCCAAATATCTGCAAGAAAAGACAAACACAATCGATTGAACATCGTATGTCTTGGGTTCCGAGGTCCTATTGGGTGGAAAACCAAGAACAGACTCACTGAGTATTCAAAAGCATGTTATAAGAGTCGACAAACTGGGAGATTCATTCGAAGAGAGTGCATCCGCCTGAGAAACCAACAGTCTGCATATAAATGAGTCAAACAGACGCGCACGCAACAGTCAGGTTCCGGAACAGAATGGTCCTCCTGTCGTGAGCTTATGCACCATATTGAGCTCAAAATCAGTTATTCAATTGTAATATGTCCCTTGCCATCATTTTGGATAGCATAGGTTCGAATCTGTATCAAGGTCAATTTTTGTAATCAGCCTTGAGCTCTCAGACTGATGTAGGTCAAAACTGGTACCAGAAAATTTACTGGAAAGTAAAGGCACCGTGTGAGTTTAACCACATCACTCATAGAGCACCGGTCAGTTTGGGCTTCCCTCATATTAGACTCTTTGCACAATAGCATGCAAATTGGTCCCTTACTTACTTGAAATAACAACTCCATTACCGATGCATCTGTGTTTATAACAGGTGTCCGGCACAAAGAACATAGTGTGGAGGGCGGACACCTCAGCCTCGTTGAGGTGCTCAAAAATAATAATATTACAATTATATTCTAAAAAGGAAGTGAGTACAATAATATATTTGACATAAATGCATAAAGAAAGGGAACTTAACAAGAGAACTTACATATTGATATGGCCTCGAAGGGCGGGTGAGGGGGCGGGGAATGAGCCTTTCTTCCTCTACACTTGAGAGGCCGGGGGGAAGTGGTGGTGCCCTAAAGATGCATAGGTCTAAAAAAGGTGGCGCTATAGTGGACACGTCCGGAGAAGAAAGGAGAAGAGAATTAACGAAGGCGTAGACGCCCACACGAGCATCCAAAAAGTACATTCCTTAATGAGTTGTAAAAAGGGTAGGACATTATAGAGAAGAGAAGAAAAGGGAGGTAAGAAAACAACAACAGTTTATGTCAGCTTAACAAAATCAATTACAATGAACAAAGAACTTTGCGGCGTTTTGCCTTTATCGGCAAATACTACACAGCATACATACACAAATATACACTAACTATATAATGACTAAATTAGACGATGAGAAAGGTCAAAGGTGCTAGACGAGATTCCATCTACGACATTGAACTGATTGCACCGCATGGGTCGGAATGAAGGAATAGACTGCGAGCCCAAGGTGACAATTAATCTTCTTCTTCTTGTTCTTCTTCTTTTCTTCTTCTTCTTCTTCTTCTTCTTCTTTGGGTTCACCAGCTGTAAACTCTAGGAAGGTTCAGGTGGTAGATCCACTTTTGGACTACAGTCCTGTTCCAGAACCTGAGTGTTGCGTGTACATCCGTTTTATAGATCTGACTCATTTATATGGCGACTAATGGTTCCTTACCTCTCCGGCAGATGCACTCTGACTTCGAAAAAGCTCCTAATAAGTCGACTCTTTCGACATGCTTTTCAGTAGGCAGTGGGTCTTTTCTTGTTTTCCCTATGAAAGGGCTCCGGAACCCACATGGGGATCACAATTGTAAGGGAGGATGATGACGACGACGACGAAGACGACGATGATGATACAGATTTTACTAGCCTCTTGACAAACAATGGGGTCAACTTTTTCTCCATTTTCGTTTCTACAGAATGCAAATCTCTCCTTATGCCCCACGCCACACTCGGCATCCCCATAGTTAACTAGACAGCTCGTCCAGTCGGAGAATTCCCAGAAATACTCAAAGCAGTTCTTCCACTTCTCACAGAGCCGCTCCTCCGTCTGGGCGACGCAAGTCTGGGTCACGGCGTATGAAGCAGGCAACCGCAACACGCCGCGGACTCTTGTTTGTGTCTCCTTACCAGTGCAGGGCTGTGGATATAGATTGTTATATTGTAGTATTATAGTGATTATTGAAAATGCAAATATAGTCCTGTCCAAAAGTAGTGCATTGCTTTAAAAAAGTATCCAATTCAATAAATGATCCGTTTAAAGTGTTCAAATTTAGCATGTAAAAAGTTAATCATTATGTCTTTGTAGGAAAATAATTATAATTTCAACAACTATATAATTTCTACATGTATTTTATGTCGTGTATAAAAACTGAAAATGATGATAATAATTAAAAAAAAAGAGACAGATTAAAAGCCTACTGTTACAGTAAATAGCATAAGGCGAAGTTGGCAAAAGATCCAACCGCATGTGTTTTGGAGGTAATGTGTGCGAGAAACTAAAAAGCTGTTATTTTAAACAGTCAAGTGGGTACGCAACTTACTGGCATAATGGTCGCTGACTGGATCTAAAAAGTCCAGGATTTGTATCGGTTACTGAATTCTATTTTCGAGGTATAAAAATTATTAGTCCGACAAAGATCAAAAACTTTGGCAACTGTTAAAAAAACAAAAGCACCTGTGCAATTGTACATAATGAAATCATATGAGAAACCAAAGACCTCATGCAAACATTTTTGTATTGAACCGTACAGACGTTTCGGAGATATTTTGTAAGGTCTTAGGACATGATTTTAGGAACAGAATATTACAAGAAAATACACCACACAAGTGGAAGATCGAGAGAGGAGATGCTGAGCGTCAACAAACAGAAAACTTTGTGAAGGGGCGGTGGTCAGCACTCTCAAAATGTTTCTCAAAGGGACGAGTGAGACTCCATAATAACCTAAGGCTTGTTTTGGGGCTCAGTAATAATAAAGAAAATAATATTGAACTATAATTTAATAAGTATTATGCGCTTCTTTCAAATGAATATAATGATATATTTGAAATAAAATAATTTTAACAAACAAACTTTTAAAAACTGAAAGTCTAGAACATGATTTGACGAAAGTCGTCCAGTCCACTTGCTAATTTCCTAGAGGAGGCGAAAAAAAAGGGGAGTGGAGAGGGATCACTTAACCAAGTCCTGAAAGTTTTAGTGGGGCACGGCCACCCCTCCCAATAATACAAATAATTTAGAGTGGAAATCCAACAAATGTCTTTCACTAAAATCTAGTGATAGATATGTCATTTCCAGCAGAAGTTTGAAGTTCGCAGGCTCAAAGTAAATGTATTAGGCAGCCATTGTATATGCTAGTGCTAACAGAGCCATCCCAGAATAGTAGTTCATTGTTGTTGCAAGCAACCATTCGCGAACTCCGGCATTGCACAGGCAACACCGCATAATAGGCGCCATCCCGTACATAACAGGCCATCCGCTATTTTTATTGCAGTTCAAAATAAAAAGCCGTCGCGGGCACACACACACACACACACACACACACACACACACACACACACAAAGAAAACATTCCACACGAAATCCACGGCTCACAGTCTCACACCAAGTACTCAGCTCAGTATCTGTGAGATGGAAGCTATGAACTTCCGGTCCTGATATTGAGAATTTGTATCAGACACAAACAACTTTCTCAGAACGTAAGCGGCCAGCTGCTATCTGCCCTGTTAAACTGGAAGTACTCTCATCATCTGCTAGTAGAACGAAGATCGTTCCCCGTGTGGGTTCCGGGGTCCTACTAGAGGAAAAACAAGAATAAACCCCCTGTCTACCCAAAAGCATGTCGTAAGAGTCACTTATTGCGCGCTTCCTTGAAAGTTAGAGTGCATCTGCCTGAGAGGCAAGGAACCAGCAGCCTGGCTTCAAATGCGTCAGATCTGTTAAACTGTTGCACACAGATTAAATCCATCATTAAAGCTGAGATGACAGGTGTTAATCCCCAATGATATCTGACATATTATAATAATAATACCTGAGTACATGTAGTCCAGTCTGACCACTCGGACAAGACACACTCTCCAGGGCAAGGCAACGAGCAAGGTTTGACTGTCTGTGGTTTATTTTGAGAGTTGCAGAACGTTTCGTCCACCGTCATCATTTGCGTGCCTTCAGAGCTCAATGCAATACATCTGCCGAAGAGGAAGATATGAAAATATACATTAATTCATAAGAAAACTGTTTTGATATTATCAATGAACCTGCAACAGAGGAGATGTATAGACACACAAACAATAAGGTTATATAACATGTGTCATTTTTTCTGTTGTCCTAACAATCTTACAAGGTTGTGTACTAATTTTGCTGTCGCTATAATCGTTTGAGACGAATTATGCCCGTATTCAATAATTGTAGATTTTAAGTTAAACGATACTCATGGTTAAAAAAGACAACTTTTTTTTAAGGGTTGCGTAGTTGGTCATGCGATAGGTAGACAATGTTTCCACAGCCGGGCACATTCGTGTTTGGAGGTGACAGGTTAGATTTTCCCGGTACGGTAGCCATAGTTTTTGATTTTTATATTTCTAGTGTGTTTTTCTATCTCTATAATTTTTGTTTTGTTTTTGTTTTGTAAGATCGATCGATTTAAGTTGAGGAACGGCTGACCGAACGGTTAGAACGCTGTAATCTCATCGGAAGACCCGAGTTCGAACCTCGGTAAGGTTGGGTTTTTTTTTCTGCCTAGGGCAAAATGAAATCCTCACCTGCGACAGCACTAGCCACGCGGCCGTAAAATCTCAGGCTCAAAGACCCCGTACCTTACACCGCAAAAGTGGTATAATAAGGCACTATTTGGCTGATAGATTGTACGTATGTTTCTTCCTCAGCCGTTTATTTCCGTGTATTACACTTCCCGGGTGCCTATAGTGATAGTCGTGTACATCTTTTTTCCAGATCTATCCATCTCTTCAATTATTTTCTCTCTCTCTCTCTCTTTCTCTTCTCTCTCTCTCTCTCTCTCTTCTCTCTCTCTCTCTCTCTCTCTCTCTTTTTCTCTCTCTCTCTCTCTCTCTCTCTAGACCCTCTCTTTCTTTATTAGAGCCCCCCCCATATTTTTTGTAGTAGAAGGTCTCATTAGCACCAAAGACTTGGTACTGACTGCATTCTTACTTTGGCAGAGCATTAAAGAAATGTAGCAGATATAAAGCACAACGAAAACATCAAAATTTAAACATTAGTCAACTCACCGAACGATCCGTCTGTGTGTACCTTCGCCACAGGTTCTAGATTCACTAGGAATGCACGGATCCCAGTCTTCTGTCTTCCACACATTCTGGTTACACTCCACATTACACACCCGCGTCTGCATCTCCTATCAGAAACAATGTAAGTTCACTGGCAACCGTCTGACTTTCTAGACTTTAATGTTTTGCAGTGTGGTAAAGATGCATCAAGATTAAAATCAAGTGACGCGAGCAATGAAGCTCCTGGTCACACTTGCATAGAGCCTGTGCAGTATTGTAGAGACAATGTTATAAAAAAAAACACATGGAGAAGAGAGCTGGAGAATGAAGTTAGAAAGATGGGGAGGACATGGCGAGAGTTCCATGCAATTGCGAAGGATAGAACAACTTGGCGTAAGTTGGTTGAGGCCTATGCTCCATTGGGGGATAGAAAGGCAGAAGAAGAAGAAGAAAGAAGAATGTTGTGTCACCGTAGCATATTTCTTCTCTTTGACTGCCGTGTTTATCTCAGAAGGAATGAGGCTTGAGGTTTCAATAACGGATCAACATCATGGTACACGGGTAGTAAGCCGTTAGATGCTCCGTTCTTCTTCTTTTAACTCTGAGTCCCAAGAAGCTCAGCAAAGTACACATGCGTCTTAGAGGAAAGAAATCACGAATACATCTGACACGAATAATGCTACAAAAGCTAACGGATCAGAACAGCTGCGCTTTATATTTGAAATGGGCAATAACAAAAGACAATTAATCATCATCGCTATCTCATGCAAAAAACAGCCTTCATTAAGTATGTGTAATGACTAAGGGAAGGAGAGGCAGGGACCGATCAACACGAAGATGAGTACAGGATATAAGTCACTCCTTGTATATGAAAGTACACGAGGCGGGAGAGCTGGCGAGAGACCGAGTTTCTTTCATTCAGATGGTGATAACAGCGACGTTCTGCAAAGGACCTGCTACATGAATAGGATGATGAATGACTAAGGGTAGTCGGTTGGTTTTCCTTCTCACTTGTTCGCTAAAATGATTCCCAATCAATAAATTTCTTAATTATATCCCGATTTATTATATTGAAACTGAGTCGCCTTGAAGACCATATTCATCTCCATCATCATTCTGTAGTTCCAATATTTATCACACAGAGCTCATCAAAGTCTACAACTCCATTTTGCCCCGTCCAGTGCAATCCTGCCAATGGCATGCCTGGAATCAAGTCTACCACTGCCGGCCTTTCCTAGCCATGGTTATCTTGGACGTCCCTCTGTTCTAAATCCATTTTGTTTCTTCAAATTTCAGCAGCTACTAGCGATTCTTGGTCTCGATCTCCTGATGACGTGCCCACGATATTGTTATCTTTGTTTACCTGTTAATATTATTAGTTGTTGAAAAATGTTTCTTATTTCGTCGTCTTTATGTTCATTTTATGTTCCTCTGTTAATATTATTAGTTGTTGAAAAATGTTTCTTATTTCGTCGTCTTTATCAAGTTCATTCCATCATAATTGCACTCCTAACAGATCCACAGTTGCTCCGATCTCCTCCTCCAAAGCTCTACAAGTGTAAAACGACTGATGACGCCTGTTGTGTGTTGGTTAATGAAACGTCTTGTCCCCTTAGTGAAATATTAATTTCTTGCAGCTCCGAGCTGCACCCCTATGTCAATCAGTCTAGACAGGGATACAGGGTCATGTCCTTTGGTGTGCTCCTAGGTACAGTAAGTAAAGCGCATGGCATTGATAACATCACTTAGGTCTAGTACTCGACAAGTGATAGCAACCGAAGTGTCAGCAAAATAGTCTGCTCGCTCGTTCCCTCCAGCACTCGTATTACCTGGCACAAAGATTAGGGCTAAGGCAGCTATTCGTGAAGTGTTAGTGTTGCAATCCATTCTTGCCTGATAAATCTAGCTTTCCTTTTTTTTTAGCATATTCATTGAGTAGTTGTGTGCATGTGTTGATATATTGTTTATTGTATTTTGCAATATATATATAATGCTTGGTCAGCTCTGTGGCTAAGGAGATGAGTACGCTTCGTAATGCCGGGGTGTCGGGTTCGATCCCAGCTGCGGGCCATGCACCTTGCGTTGGTTTCGACAGTGGTATCAAAGAATCCGACAGTCCAGAAAGCAATGGCAAACTACTGGACGTAAATTTGCTTAGAAAAACCACACAAGTCAGGGGCTGCTGTGGTTGGTTCTGCAACGTCCTGTAAAGGAAACGCAACTAACATTATGTTATGCTTGAAAAACATTTATGGTCTCATAGTGTATTGCCTATATGTAAGTAAAGGTGTCGAGTTGTGAGCATGACGTATTAGACCACACAGTCCAATGGTTCTCAACCTTCCTAATGCCGCGACCATGTTGTGGCGACCTCCAGCCATACAATTATATTCGTTGCTACTTCATAACTTTAGTGAATATATGGTTTCCGATGGTCTTAAGCGACCCCTGTGAAAGAGTCGTTCGACCCCCAAAAGGGTTGCAACACATAGGTTGAGAACCGCTGGCATAACCAGTACAGTCACCCAGACCTGAGAGAGACAAAACGGGAACCGTCGTGGTATAGCGGCTAGACGCTAACCTACGGATCTGAAGGTCGAGGGCTCAGGTCATGACGGAATCGGATTTTGTTTCCAGAAATGACCTTGGCTCCCAGGTCGACCTAGCCTTATATGTGTACGAAGTGACATCCTGGGAAGTAAAGACGGCTGGCGATATGTTGACCTCATGACCCATCGAGAGCTGATTGGTCTATAAAACATAGGTCGGGCCCTGTATGCCCAATAAGCCTGAAGGAAAAGGGTAATTTTTACCAGGGCAATTGTTGAATACAAAATATATTCCAGGATGTATGCACAGCGAATGAACTCCGTAGCACCAGCGACGATCGAAAATTAACACAGGACATAATAGGGAAACCGACACAAAGAAAATACTGGACCAGGAGACCCCAAAACACTTACAAATGTTGGGGGGATGGATGGAAAGGGTCGGGCGGGCAGGGTGGGGGAGGGGGTCGGGTGTTGTTGGAGGGGGGGGGGAGGGTTGTTGGTGGGGACAGAGCCTGAGTACTGTTTGTGATAATATAAATAATAAAAAAGTAGTAGTTGTAGTATTAGTAGTAGTAGTAGCTTTTGCTGTTGATGTAGCAGTTGTAGTTGTAGCAGTTGTAGTAGTAGTATCAGCAGTAGTTGTATAGATAGTAGTAAAAGCAGGGGTTGTAATAGTAGTAGTGGTGGTGGTTGTGGTGGTAGTATTAGCATTAGTAAAACAGATGAATGGCAAAACTAGAATAATATGTTTGAAATAACACGATACATAAAAAAAAAAAAAAAAAACAACTTGAATTTATTTTTCTCTCAAATCATTTGGCCCAGAAAGTTTGCTCCTGTATCTTAAGCGTACGTTAAGAATGTACTGCAGCATTTCCAAAAGCATTGTCTTCTGAATACACATGCATTCAGAACTCTTCTTAACTTTCTTCACACCATTTATGTTTTCAACTGCTGTCTTTGCTGATCTCAAGCAGATTTGGAAAAATTGTTGATTATCGCCGCGGCACCCCTTGGATACGCTCGTGGTACCTTTGGGTGCCGAGGCACCTAGTTTGACAACCTGCTGTTCCATACCACAGACAGCCTTTTTCCAATGGTCATTTTGTTTGTGGGGTGTAGGGTTAAAGGACCAAGGTTTGTTCACACCAATGATCTGCACTAAGATAAAACAACTACCTTCTCCTGTACAAGCTGGTGAACCAACTGGGTTCTGGTGAGTGTTCTGACACAGAAAAGCCATGTATCGCTTCCCCGGGCCGCAGTAGGTCTGTGGACCCAGTCCCGTTACACCTGTCTCATTGGTTCGTCTATGACGGGCACTGATGCTCTTCAGTGACATGCTGGCAAATATCCTTTCATCCTGGTTTTGTAAATACAATAAAATATGCAATATTATGCAATAAATTATACAACATTATGATTTAGGGGGGAAAAAATTATGTGAAACCAAGCTGAGCTCGGAAAGAGGAGGTGGATTAATAAGCATTTTGTCATCTCTTTGTTGGATGCAATTTTTCGTTTTTTAAAGCACTACTCTGGCTCTTGCCAGGGGTTGCATATGGTTAGTTGCGTATCCTTTACTGGACGTTGCAGAACCAACCCCAACTGCTCCCAGCTGTTGTGTGGTTTGGTTTTTCTAGGCAAAGTTACGTCCAGTAGTTTGCCATTGCTTTCTGGATGGTCGGCTTTCTTGATACCACTGTTGAATCAACGCAGGGCGCATGGGCCACATCTGGTGTCGAACACGGCATCCTAGCATTACGAAGCGTTCGCATCGACTGAGCCACAGAGCCGACGGTTGCAATATCATCATCAGTTCTCGTTATGCAGAGTGGCAGATGAGACTTCAGAGAGGAATTTCCATGCTTTCCTGTGCTGTGCAATTTTGAGTGCAGTTTTCCATGTCAAAGACGCCGCACTCAGGCCGCTTTCCATCGTTCGTCTCCATGTTGTTTTTGGGCGCCCCTGTTTTCTCGTTCCCTCTGGTGTCCATGTGAGTGCTGTTTTGGCAGGTATATCACGATTCATTCTCATAACGTAGCCAAGCCATTTCCATCTTCTGTTGATTAATGCAATTTAGCCCAGCCCTAAACATGGCCTAATGGCTGAACGCGGTTTCTGAGGCCTCTCCACGGGTGATCCTCATCCGTATAGAGGCACTGTGTGTCATCGGGTGTTTATCGCTTGTGTGATGTCCTGGTGGGGTCAAAGAAGATAGACAGAGATAGATGGATTGATAATGTTAAATACCTTCTGCATCCACACGAGAAAACCACCGCGGTGTAGAGGCTAGACGCAGTTCCTGACGGAGCCAGAATGTTAGAATTGTCTTTCCAGAGATAACATTTTATACCAAGTCGACCCAGTCTTAAACGGGTAATAGGTACAGTCCTAGGAATTAAAGGCGGCCGGCGTAAACTTAATCACATCCCCCATCGAGCGCCGATTCTTCTTCTTCTTCTTCACTTCCTCTTTTACCGCTGTGGGTGTCGAGGGAGATATAAAGTTCTGTTTCTGGCTCTTCTGGCCGCCTCGACTGTAGGCACATCTTGTTGTTGTAGAGTTTCTCTGATGTTATCCTTCCATCTTGTTCTTGGTCTACCCCGTGCTCTACGTCCTTTTTCTGTTTCCATGTATGCTTTGTATGGTATGGTGTCACAAGGCATTCTCTCTAAGTGGCAAACCATTTCACTTGCTGTCTTTGTATGTAATTTAGAATTGGTTCTGTGCCGACTTTTTCGCTTATGATCTCTTTCCTGATCTTATCTCTTATGGTCACCCCTACAGCCCTTCTCAGACATCTCATTTCCATGGTTACTAATTTTCTTTTATGGTTTGTTGTGAGTGACCATGTCTGGCACTGGTAGCACAGAGTTGGAATAAATATGCTTTGAATAATATGTCTCTTTGTGCTGATTGGGATTGTCTTATGCTGTGAGAGGGGGGCTAGCTGTCCCAATACTTGGTTTGCTTTACTGCATCTAATGTTAATTTCTTTATCCAATTTCCCATCTTCGGTAAATGTAGTGCCCAGATATTTAAACTCAGATGCCTTTGTTCTCTATTGCTATGTTTAGATCTGTCTTCCCTTTTCCCATTGACATTACTTCTTTCTTTTCAGTGTTGATTCTCATAGTATTTGTTTTACATTCATCATTCATGGATGTTAGATGTTGTTGCAATTTCATGGCTGTATCTGCTATCAAGGCCTGGTCATCTGCAAAGAGTAATTCGTTGATCTTACTAACATTTTCATTCATGGGCTTGGCATTCTTGCATATACTGTCGATGTAGGTGATGAGCGCCGATTGGTTTATAAAATATAGGTCTAGTACTTTATTTGCCTAACACGCTTGAGGGCTGTAAAAATTATCCACACGGAATGAAAATACCCAATGCTACCCGTTGAGCAATGGGTCACGAGGTATTCCTCCCCACGCCGCTTAACGGTAAGCGTGGAAATCGATGATTAAGATGATGATGATGATTGTGGGATGTTATCCTGTGCATGCTACAGTGATGCACATGTAAGTAAAAGGAAAGGGGTTATTACAAAATGTACACGACACCGTTGTATTATGTTATTGCTGTGTGCCTAGGTTGTCTGGATTAAAATGATGTGAAACTGTGATGCGAAAGTCTCTTGAAAATCGCTTTGTTTTTTACCTTGGGAACTCTAACACCCAGGGTACTGAACTGACAACACAGTGTCATCTAAAAATCCCCAGTTACGGCCCTTGGCTTTCCAAGGGTCCAACGAGTCTCTTCATTCCACTTGTAAGACATCAATGTGGCTGCTTCTAGATGCGTCAGTTAAGTGATTTCGTGTTTTCGTGTAGTTTTGTTTGATTTATATATGTGTTGATGAAGACTGTATAGCCGCAACGTTCACATTTATTTGTGTTTGTTATATTGTGAAACTCGCTAATCTACTTTTTGTTCAGTTTTATATCTTTCCAGGGATTAAAATTATGTCTGACAGATGATGGGACCAGACCCATAGCATTGCCTGGCAACTAGTCATGGCGGAAGCTGGGAAAGCTCTTTTGATCCGAAAACTTCTGCAGCATGCTTTGTTCTACTCCTACTATCATTACTTTTTCTTTGGAGCTGAAAGAGCTGGCCTATACAGGCATCTTGCTTTGAGGGCAACACATAGTCTCTTAACTGGAAGACTTTATTATCACGAGCAGGTCTTGCTAGGGCCACTCGCTGTCCTAGCAACAACAGATGATGTAAGGGACAGGCCGAATTGCCTAAACCTTTTAAGCGACAACTGAAATAATTCGAACACACTAAAAGATGTCAGACAATTTGACAAACCATAATGACTGGAAAAGTCGAGGAAGGTGAGAAAGAGGTATACAAGGATACAAGTGGGTGTTCAGCATTAAGATGAGCGAACATCAGCAGTCTGAGAGAGTGTACAACCAAGACGGGGGACAGGGTATGTTGGAGATCTATTGCAACCAACCTGCATGGTGGAGACGCATCTCACTGAATGATCTGCAGATCAGTTCATTGTCAAATTTGACTGGTAAAAGTAATGTTTGTCTCCCCAGACCCCACCGATACACACAGTAGCTCACTTCTGATTGGTAGTTTCTGAGCCCCGGATCCTTTGCACAAGGTTACGGTGTTGTTCCGCCATGTCGTTGATATCGCGTGTTGTATATTTCAGCACGCAGCGCTTTTAACACTCTAAAATCATAGAGAAACTGGGTCTAAATAACACCCCTAGAGAGTGCTACAGTCTATGTCACAGGCATTCTATTTCTCGGAATAAAAACGTAAATGCAAGACACCACAGAAACCGAACAACAGAGCGGGATACAGCCGTAACCTTCAGGAAAGTTGACCAGCCCAGAAAACTTGCGAATGAAAAGTGACTTACTCTATTTGTGGAGACTAACATAAAACTAACGATGTGACGGTATTCATAATCTATACACTCATTAAAGTGATAAAACATACCGCTGTATTTGATTGGATGATGCAGTCTGACCATCCACCAATAACAACGGACTGGACACTGTCACACACGCAGTCCTGGTGCTGGTCGCGTGGATAGAGTTCCAGGTCATGGCACTTGGGGTTATTCTTGCTCTCATCTGCAGACATACATGCACTTTTATATCAATTAATAGGTCACATTTAATTGAAACAAAACCAATCATATGCAGAGGTTCTGGGAAGACTGTGAATAACAGATATACAATTAAAATGTTTAGCCGTGTAAAAACGATATAAAAACTTGAATGAATGAACAAGTGAATGAAATTACAAATGAATGAATGAATAACGAATTAATAAAGAAGTGACATCACTGCACATTACCACATTTGCTCCGTCGCCCTTTCTTTATTATTTTCCTACCCCAGATGACGTCAAAGGAAAGTCAAACATTTTAGAGGGTGGTAAGACGGAGTTTCCCGGTTTTCTGTTGCTTTTAACGACTCCAAAACTCCCAGAAATGGTCCTAACCCTAACCCGCCTACACCCCACGAGAGAGTGCAGTTTAGGTCCCACGTTTGCATGCAGCCTATGTCTCACGACTGCCTGCAGCCTGCCTACCACCCCCCCCCCCTTAAATAGTTGACTGTCCCGTGACCTGTGGATTTCCCCTGTTTAGGGTAGGATAATAATAAATCACCCCGTCCCCTTCTTCAGATAACCAACGAAGAATTGATATGCTTATAGTATCAGCTGCAAAGTGATTAAAAACCCGCCTCTGTTTCTCCTATAATGTTGAATATCTTCCTGATCCTCTACTCCGGTAGTTCTAATGCCGCGACTCCCTGATACAGCTCCTCATGTTCTGGTAACCCCCAAGCATAAAAATGTGTTTTCTGATAGTCTTAGGCGACCCCTGTGAAAGGTTCGTTCGACCTTCACATGGGCCGCGACCATAAGTTAAGAAGCGCTGCTCTATACACTCCCTTAGAATTAGTCTGTCAATGTATGGATTCACCATCTGCTCTTTTGTACTGTCCATTTGATCTCAAAGAGCCTTCACCACATCCTTTTTATCTTTATCACATAGTAGCTCCCGCCTAGAGAAGCGACAGCAGCTAATCTTTCAGCCTGCTCGTCTTCTCGTACACCTGAATATCTTGGAAAGAAAATCAAAAATATGCTCTTTATCTGGTTCTTTTCAAGTGATAGAAGCAGTTCTGCACGCGGGACACCAGTTTCATTTTTCCTAAGCGCGCTCTGTGAGTCTGGTACAGTTAAAACAAGTCGAGTTGTGCTGCTCTCAAATGATCGAAAACACTCTGTCCAACCATACTGGAGTCAAAAGTCGAAGGTATAGAGCAAGAGCAGCGTTTGTGGCTTAGGTGTTGCGAGTCCGACTCGTAATTCCAACTTACCGCCATCGAAACCCACTGCTGGCTGCGTGGATTTGTATCAGGGTATGGGGCGTCACAGGTCGACACAGCCTAAAATTGGTACCAGGATGGCTGTCCTGGGGAAGTAAAGACGGCCGGTGTAATGCTGACCTCATTACTCATCCAGTGCCGAGTGGTCTGTAAAAATATGGGATGCTCTTTCCATATGTCCGATGCGCCTAAAGGCGTGAAAATGGATCTTTACTTACCATAAAGCAGGAGAAAGTTTTGCACGCGCGGCTATGTATATAGATATGAAAAGTAAGAGTAAACAGATACGCCAGTCAGGCAGTATGTAAATCGGCTGACCTCATTACCCAACTAGTGCCGAATGGTCTGTAAAAGTATGGATGCTCTTTCCATGTGCCCGATGCGCCTAATGGCGACCAAGGGGATCTTTATTTTTTTTTTTTAAATTCTTTCTATGGGATCTACATTAGAACTTCTCTTATACTAGTTTATGAAAAAACATTTGATAAAGTAAAGCACTGGGAAATTTTTTTTGAATTTTGGAACTTAAAACATTGTTGGTAGAGATCTGCGAATAATAATTTTTTTAAAAAGCAGCCACAAGGATTGACAAACAAGTTGGAAGTTTTCAAAACATTAAACAAGGCGTTAGACAGGGATGTGAGCTATCACCCGATTTATTCAATTTCTACAATTAAAAATAATTCGATCCCAACATGGTATACCAGAAATAACTGTTAGTGGGCATATTAATAACAACCTGCGCGATATACTGACGATATAGTTCTGATAGCTGAAAATGAAACATAACCGCAAGAAATGATGTATACAATTGTAACGGAAAGTAAGAACAAGGGTCTTGATTTAAACACCACAAAAACAGAAGTAATTGTAATTACAATGAAAACTGAACCTCCAAAATGCAACATCAGAGTAAATGGAACAAACCTCAAGCAAGCTGATATGTTAAGGAACTTAGAACCTTGATAACATCAGAGGGAAGATGTTTTTAAGAAGTTAGATAGCATCAGAGGGAAGAAGTTTTTAAGAAGTTGGTTAACATCAGATGGAAGATGTTTTTAAGAAGTTAGTTAACATCAGAGGGAAGATGTTTTTAAGAACTTAGTTAACATCAGAGGGAAGGTGTTTTTAAGAAGTTAGATAGCATCAGAGGGAAGATGTTTTTAAGAAGTTAGTTAACATCAGATGGAAGATGTTTTTAAGAAGTTAGTTAACATCAGATGGAAGATGTTTTTAAGAACTTAGTTAACATCAGAGGGAAGATGTTTTTAAGAAGTTAGTTTATTTCAGGTGGGATGTGATGGCACCATCTGCTTTATAATGAAGATGGTCAGAATGTTCGTATTCAACACACTGGAACTTACCCAGCAATCGTCGTAAGCGAAATCTGGTTTTCTCGCACTGAGGTCCACACAATGTCCACTGCGACCAGGAAGAAAACTGGCATTCTGATTCACAAGGGATATAGCAGACTTCAGTTGTGTCCGGCATGGTGCCTAGCTTCTCCAAACATGTCATCACTGTCACTTGCCTGGTGCCTTTGTCATCATTCTCATAACAGGAAATGTCTATGAAAGTGGCAGAGAGTTAAAAAAAAAAAAGCACTTTACATGATGTTAGTCAACCGAATAAATGTTGCTAGTAGAGTTGTTTCTAGGGTTCTTAATTTATAACGTACCCCAAACACGAAATCCCCGTGGGAAATCCACAGCTGACCTGACAGTCCATTATTTAAAGGTGTGGAAGTGTGCTGTTGTGTTTTTTTGTTTTTTGTTTTTTGTTTTTTGAGTGTTCATCTAGTGTCTTCTAATCCTAAACCCTAACTTTAACCCAAACCCTAATCCTAACCCTAACCCTAAATTTGGGTGTAGATAAATCGCGAGAAACTACAACCTGAACACCCTATAATTTATTGGGAATGTCTCCCGTGACGTTGTCGTGACGTCAGGGGTAAGTTATAAATTAAGTACCGTTTCTAGAAACATATTTGAGGTTTTGAACAAAGGATCAATAAAATGGCACACGGGTTGTAGCCCATAGGTGCTCCGTTCTTTTTTTAACTCAAGTCTGAGTCCAAAGAAGCTTAGCACAGTGCACAGGCTCTGTAGCACCGGCGAGGATCCTCAATTACTTTGGGTAGATGTTTTACTCCAAATTGTTGCCCGGGCAGCGCTGTTAGGCTACTCTTTTCGATTTCCAACTGCCAAGGAATTTTTTTGTACGTGCGCAACAATAGACACGGGCGTCCGATCTCACTACACAGAGACCAAGGGAAATTACTAGAAGTCCAAGTCCACGTCCACAAATCCCAGCCCTTACTGGGGATAGAACACGGAACCTCTAGCACTCGAGGCGGACACCATGCCTGGAGACTGTGCATCCCCTTCAAGAAACTATGCTGGTACGCACCTCTAAATGGCGTTATATAGGTACAAGTACTCAGAAGTCGGGGCATATGCGACCGCGCTACGTAATGCCGGGGTGCAGGGTTCGATCCCAGCTGCAGGCGATTTGACAGCAAGCCGTCTTGCGTTGTTTTCCACAGTGCTACCGAGAGTCGACCGTTCAGTAGGCAATGGCAACTCATGAACGTGAAGTGTGCAACAAAAGAAAAGCCAAAAAAGGCTGGGGCTGGTTCTGTAACTTCCTGTACAGGATAGCCATCAGTGCTAGACCAGACTTCACTTTTAAGTGGACTAGATGCAGCAGCTAAACGCTCACCTGCTCATCCGAACGGTATAAGTTCAAATTCGAACGGAGTGAGACTTTGTTTAAAAATGACCTTGGCTCCCATGCCGACCCGGTTTTTAAATAGGGACCATGTAAAGTCAAGGGAAATAAAGGTGGCCGGTCCGATTTTGACATCACCCACCAAGTGCCGATTGGTCTGTAAAATAAAAGTTAACATTATGTGCCTAATACACCTGAAACCGTGGAGTAGGACACTAAACTTTAACGTTAGCAACCAATATGTAACGTATAAGTGTCACTTGTAAACTACACCTCGGACTGTCGGATAATGATAAAAACAGGGAGCCACCACCGTGTGGGTTTCAGGGTCCCGTTGTGGGGAAAACAAGAATAGACCCACTGTCTCCCTAACAAGCATGTCGTAAGAGTCAACTAGTCAGGGACTTCCTTCAAAGTCGGAGTGCGTCTGCCTGAAAGGCAAGGAACCAGCAGTCTTCATACGAAAAAAGCAAGGTTTGTAAAACAGATGATGATGATGATGATGGCGATGATAATGCTGGTGATGATAATGATGATGATGATGATGATGATGATGATGATGATGATGATGATGATGATGACTGGGCAATGACTCACTTCTAGCTCTTAGCCCTTGACCACACAGTGGCACCACGGGCGGAAGGATACAGTCGCTCCATTCTGTTGTCTCAAAGTAGTGAGACTGACAAACCGGCAGATTGGTACATGGTTGCTCTTCACGCAGGTCACTTGGACACGACAGACCTCCGTTCTGTGGGTACTGAAGAATGAATCGACGCCGGATTTGGGCCGGAAACATTTGACGAGCTGTTGAAAGAGTTCGGGAAATGTGACATTGTCTTTAGTTAGTATCTTTGCATCGATCCTTCAACAATTCAGTCACTGATTCTGCACACATCTATTAATTAGTTGATTCATCTATTGATATTTAATTATCTAAATCCATACATCTATCTATCTACCCATTCAATCAACTTTTCTTCCATTCCAACATTCAGTAACCGTTCCTTGTATCTATATTTTTTCCAACGAATATAAACATACCAGTACAGCCACCCACTCCTTCATCCAACAGTCTATTCACTTATACAATCACTAAATCATCTATTTTTTTCCTGTGCATGCCATTGCTGTTTTTACTTAGCAGAACTATATCGTCATCAAATTCGCCATCCTCGAAGTGGGCGTTCCCCACCCAGTCAATGGTGGCGTTTCCAAGACGCGTGCGTGAGTGCGTGCGCGCGTGCGCGTGCGCATGCGTGCGTGCGTGCGTGCGAGCGTGCGTGCGTGCGTGCGTGTGTGTGTGTTTGTGTGTGTGTGTGTGTGGGGGGGGGTAATCACGCTGTCAATGCATCTCTATTTCACTCCAATATCAGCATCATACCATTCACTTGATCCATTGCCTGCTCGCACTGCACACTCGGAACCTTCATTTCTGAACTTGAAAAATATTAAGACAAATAGGTCTGGTTCACGTTTCTATGCCTAGGATGAGAGTAACTTCCCTTGCCATTCATGCCTTCTTAGGTCGCTGGACCTCTATTATTTTGCGGGGGTGTTATGATATGGTTTGATTTGGCGTTCGCGAGGCGTATGAAATGTTTATGGGAGATTGTGTTGATGTGAGTCTATTCCAGGCGCCGCAGGCGCCTTGTACAAGAAAGAAGTAATAAAAGGTGAAGGGCAGCAGTCGCGACGATTCTTGGCTATTGAAACTGGGTTTTGGTATTTCTACGTATGTTGGCGTAGGCTTCCCCCCCCCCCCCTCCCCGAGAGAAAGACAGCAGTTACAAGGAGCGTAGGAATCGAAAAATATCGCTGTTTCCAAACTCCTGAACCGTCACGCAGCTAGCAGAACATACAAATAATCACGCAAGCGAGCGATGAGAAGACGAGAAAAGAGACAACGGTTAAACCGTTCACAATAAGGAAAATTTGACTCCCTGCAACTTAGGAGAGGTCCAGCGACCTAAGAGGACATGAATTGGCAAGGGAAGTTACTTTAATCATGGGGACGGAAGCGTGAACAACACCGACAAATAATATTCCTGAGCGTTATACTCATAGTTTTAAAGTTTCCCAGAATGGGAGCTAAAAAGCATAACCTCACATACTTACCCTCTACGGGAAGACAATCAATCCCACAGTCCGACCACTCTGACCATTCTGTCACATGACAATCCACAGGACAGTCAATAATGCAAGGCTGTGTGGATCGCGGTCTTGTGCTCTCCTCGCATCTAAAAAAAACCACAAGCATGCCTCAAGTATAACACTAAAGTTATTTTCTTCTGCTTATCAGGCAAAGTGAAACATCGTTCTTCAACCAAATCTCATCTCTTCAATTATATATTGTGAACTACAGCTTATAAGTCAGTTTTCAAGAATAAAAATATTTCTAAACTATTGGTGAGCTTATTTGAAAGAAATCAAATGCGTTAAGTTTTCTGCACCATGTTTGTTTCCCTTTGTTTGCTGTAGTCTGCGTTGTGGCTTAGTGGTTGAGAACGCGCTTCGTAATGCCGGGGTACCGGGTTCAATCCCAGCTTCGGGCCCTGCGCCTTGTTTTGGTTTCGACAATGGTATCAAGAAGCCGACCGTCAAGAAAGCAATGGCAAACTACTGAACATACATTTGCCTAGAAAAACAACAAGAGCCAAAAAAGGACGAGATTGGTTCTGCAACGTCCTGTTAAGGATACGCAACTAACCTTTTTTAAGTAGTTGCTGTAGTTACCGCCATTACGTCCATAGTCAGACTACTTGTAGGTATGGCAAAAGCACCGCTGTGTTAATTTTTTTTCTCTCCCCCCAACCAGAACCGTGGACGGTCAACACGTCGAAAGAGAGGTTATTTGATTTAACTATAACTCATTTTTGGGGGGAAGGGGTGTGGGCAAAGATAAAATCTTGATGTTGAGTTGTACGTCAATTAACGGCAGTTGTCTCCGACTTACTGAGTTTCTGAGTTAAATATTTCTATGGGGTGATGTACCTAGTGTCAGTATTCAGCGCAGATTTGTGTAATTTATTGTTAACTTGTTTATTTATTTAAGTTTTTCATATCTCGCACAACCCTTTTGTTTTTACATACTTCTTACTTCTTACTTTCGTATTATAATCTTTATATTCATACCCCAGTCCGCCCTCCACCCTGCTCATTCCATACTTCTTGGTTCTATGTTAACGTTGTTTGTTGTTTTTTAAAAGAGCTTTGTTGTCTTGTCCCTTGAGTTTTCCTTTCACAGTTTGCATTGGCATTTAATACTCGGTTGATAAAGACTTTGGTCGAAACGTTCGGTTGTATTTGTGTGCGTCTTTTCCAGTCCCTCCGTTGAGCTTTCTAGTAACAATTTATTTTGTATTCAGCACTACATTCCAAGGAGGTCGCCGTGACGTAGCGGCTAGACGCTGGCGTGCGGATCGGAAGGTCGTAAGTTTGCTCCCTGGCGATGCCGGACTTTTTTCTTTCTTTAAAAAATGACCTTTACTCCCAGGTCAGCCAAGTTTTTGAGTGGCTACCGGGTGCAGTCCAGGGAAGTAAAGGTTGCCGGCGTGATGCTGACCACACCACCCATCTTGTGCGGTTTGGTCTATAAAAATATAGGTCTAGCCCTATACGCCTCAAGGCGCGGAAAAAGGTCCTTTACTTTTTATTTACTTCAAGTCAAACTACCTTTGCAGTCTTTACAACGTAGTAATAGAAGACAGTGTTATATTTTTAGTTTTCCTTATAGATCCCGATGTCGGCTCTGTGGCTAAGTCGATGCGAATGCCGGGGTGCCGGGTTCGAACACAGCTGCGGGCCATGCGTCTTGCCTTGTTTTCGACAGTGGTATCAGGGGGCCGACCGTCCAGATGCAATGGCAAACTACTGGACGTAAATTTGACTAGAGAAACAAAGACATTGGGGTTGGTTGTGCAACGTCCTGTAAAGGGTACGCAACTAACCAAACCAATATATCCCGATACACGCGCATAGTAATAACAAAGCAATATAGAGTAATAACAAAAATATTACTAATAACAATTTAACACTACAATATATGCGTGACTGTCATGCCGGTGGTCGTGTGGTCTAATTATTCTTGCAGCGAATATTTAACGAAAAAGCCACTGTTTTCCAAATTCAGTTTGTAACAGGTAACAGGAAACGGAATTGGAAGTAAAGGAGGTCTTTGTAGTGTTGACCAACCAGATCTCCCATTGAGTACCGAATATCTATAAATAATGGAGCTAGCATCGTCTACTTCAACACAGTTACACAAATGTGCTAATGACTTTCAAATCTAAATTAATCAACGTTCTCTGAGAGTTGTTGTGAAACGTAGAATTCCTACAGCTCACTACACTCAGAGGAAAGGCACGATTATGGCCAGTACCATCAGTATTAGAACTATGCGTTGGCTGCTGAAGATGAGGACGGTGCACATATGGGAATGCCCGAAGTGCTGTGATGTCGATTCTTGACTCAGCTCAACTCGGCTGAAGAATTCCAACTGAATAGCGCAACATTGGTAGTCAGAACGCATATATAGGATATGCAGTTGAGAGAACGAAAATAAGTACAAGACTGGGTTGTTGATTCTAGTTTCATAGCCCAGTCAGTAGAAGTCAGTCCAGTTCACAAAGAGAACGGAAATAAGTAGAAGACTGGGTTGCTGATCATAGTTTCAAAGCTCAGTAAGAAGTAAGTTAAGTTTACAGACAAATAGAAAAAAGTTATTAGTCATCAACAGACGATTGCGGGATCCTACACTTTATATTTACTAAATGTTGAATGTTTAATTAGGAATCGACATCACAGTACTCGGGACACTCCCAAAAGTGCTATCATCCCATCTTCAGTAGCAAGCGAATAGTTCCAATCCGATGGCACCAACAACTGTCTGACTGTATATCCGTCTCATCCTTCCCCTGACATTTGAGCGTCGGCCAGATCCCCCGGTAACTCCGCCATTCTCCTCAGACCGTAATGATCTGTAACTGTATAGTTGCAAGAAAAACAAATGACTGGATGAAACAATCCTTACTATAGGAAGTGGACCTTCTTTGGATACCATCTAAATAATTAATGCTATTGGAGACAAGATACACACTGAAGACTTCGAACTTGGGGACAATTTCTTTTTGACTCTGGTACAACGTCTAGGCATGCAAATTAGAGTAGCGCGACCTGAAGACCACAGTAGTTCATCATCAATTGGCAGGTCCTTTACAGAACGTCGCTCTCATTACGGCACGCCTGAAAGTTACTCTTTCTTTAGCCAGTTCTCCAGCTCTGTGTTCTTTCAAAGTCAGTCTCTTGTATCCGATTTTAAGAAGGTCTGCCTTTGCCTCGATTTCCGGAAACTGTAACTTCCTCAGCGTGCCGCCCAGGACACCATCGTTTAAAACGGCCAGAATACTTCAGCTTCAGGGACAGGGCGTCATTTATTAGTCGTTCCATCCAATAATACAGAAACTGTTTTCGTTCGTTTGATTTCAGTTAGCCACGTTCAACCTCTGACCAGGAAGCTAACCTCGTCCTAGTCAATAGAGGTTATAATTATGGCAATAACTTATGTTGCTATATCATTGCGTTAGTATTTTATGTCTTCCTTGTCTGTCTGTCCGCCCAAGTCGTGTCCGTCTCATTGCGCAAGCTTGGATCTGATTGGGTGATGTGTTTTTCTTATTGTACCATCCGTTGGTTGAGTTACTGCTATTGACCGGGTTGTCTGCTGATCTATTGATGGTGATATTGTTGCAGAAGTTTTTCACTGCTATCGGTGTTGTTCTGCCATTAGGTCCTCAGACCGAACAGGATCCGTCAGCTTGGACATACTTAGAAACCTGCACAGGAGAAGACTGTAGCACACATGGGCATCTATGATGTGTAAAGAAGATGATCCATTGTGTAAACAATGCTACATTTAGATCTAGACACCTACTTGTATGGTGCCTTGACACCCAAGGTCGTGTAACATTCTACCGTCCTATTTTGTGTCCCAGGTCCACACTGGACTCTGGAGTTTTGAGCGCTGAGCTGGCACGGTCCCCAGTTGGAAACATCCCATTTGTAGGTCAAGCAGTCGGTGAGAACAGGACACAGTTCGGTCTGAATTAGAGAGTTAGTGCTGGGACACTGCCGGTTTCTTCTGCCTGGTGAGGACAAACAACAGTTACAACGACCTGTGTAATACAGAAAGAATAACTAATGTTGAGCTTCTGTGGAGACGTAAACACTTTCCAGTGGACCAAGAGATAAAGAAAAGACGCTGCTGTTGGATAGGACACACTGATGGGAAAACTTCAAAACAATATAACTAGAATATGTTTGCACTGGAACCCAAACACGGACAAGGCAGCCAGAGAGGGAAGTTGAAACAACGGTGAGGACATGGGGTGAGCTCAATGCAATAACGAAATATATAAAAAGATTTCGAGAGTTGGTTGAAAGCCTATGCTCCATTGAGGGATAGAAGGCACAAGAAGAAGAGGGGTAATACAGAGTCCCATAAGCTTCAAGACAAAGAAAACAAACAAACATGTTTGAATGAACATAGGAAACAAACAAACAAGTTTGAATGAAAACCATTCTTATGTATATTATATGTTCTATTTAAACAGTTTTGAAACACATTTCGATGATGTCTTCCACTGCCCAGGAACACATATAAAGTTGTGCTCGAAATTGGTTGTCCATTGGCTGACCGGTAGACGACTTCGTCGCCGGTCGGGACAACATTTGGGGCTGTCTCCTCTGATGGCGTCAACACTGCAGGAGTCCTGTTCAGGGCTCTTGGTAGCGAGCAGTGCTAAGCCAATGTAAATGGCACACACAACCTAGTCACAGTTATAACCTTAATCTCCTCCTTTGAAGATGCTGGTGGAGCGTGTAGATTTATTATACTGCCCTCCCCCCCCCCTCCCCCCAAAACCAGCAAAACAACAGAACGCGAATCTTGAAACGGCTTTGGTGATTTGGTTTGTTTTTACTATGTATGGAAGCATTTGCGACACGACATACTTGTATTGCCAAATGAAACGCAAAAGACTCACTCTTCTGCTAAGCCAATGGCGTAGTTATCATATAATGCTAAATTATTGTATCACAGACTATATTATATATAATATATAAACAGATAATGTATTGATTTGCACTCACAGAAAGAGGTTGAAAGATAGAAGGACACACAACATGTTAGCCATGGAACCCCCTCTGTCCTTTCCTTATGGAGGGCAATAAAAGGTAATGAAGAATAAAGAAAAAGGTACAAAGAAGAAGAATGGTGTAATGGGGGATATTTTCCACTCAGTTTAGGATGGTTGGGGGGAAAGCCCAAAGCTGACCAAAAACACTGTGATAGTCCAAATACTTGGATTAAACGAGAATCTGGAGATAGGTGACTAACCACTAGTTATCACGGGGACCACGGTGATGCGACCCAAGGTCGCCACGGGAAAAGTAAAGGACCACCACGTGTTGTCACGTGAAAGGAACCCGTGGTATAAGTCAGACTTGACTCTGGTCAAGTTTAGTTTGTGTCGACCTGTTGGAGCGAGAGGACGAGCGTCTGAATGTGCGAATGTCTACGTGAGTGCCTGAGGAGAAAGGAGACCTGCCGACGAAATGTTAAGCTGAGATCGACCATGCCAGCGTGTGAGATGTCCAAACGTCAGTGATGAATCCATGGGACCCATCGTTGCTTGAATGCCTGCAAAAGACTGTTCGTTAAAGGCTGCGTGAGTTTGTGTACGAAAGCGGTTCAATTAGACATCGACTGGACGATTCTCTTTTGTCGTAAGTTTTAATACGTCAATAAAGTAATGTCTCGTAAGCTCACATCGGTGTCGGCTTGTGCCAGGTGTGTAAAGTGAAGCGTGTCAGAATATCATCCACCACACACGCATGAACACCGCCTAGACAACGAGTAGAAATACAAACCCATTCATTACAATTGGGAGCTCGAAAAACGGAGATAACCGGGCAACAGAACAGCAACGGCGAGATGATATCATGAGCTGCTACTTGCCACGCAGACGTTGAAGGGCCATTAGAAGTCAAACGACTGATATATAAGTGACGGAGTCTGCCTGAGAGAGCACAGCTCGTGAAGTCACCGAGTAAAAACATCAGTTGCACAGTGAAAGCCGAAAGTTTTGATAATTTAGTCAACAGAGCAACGAAAAGTGATACCGGAGACTATCACGTACACGCAGATGAGGTTCCATTGAAAGTCGAAACGTAAAAATCGTGATAGACGGCCATGTAAGAGACGATATCTGGTGAAACGCATAGTTGCTGGAATCACCGAACAGTTGCGACAAAAATTTAACCTGTAACCGCCTGACGCTGGGTTATGTCGTCACGTGGGTGAAAGGTTAAAGGACACGTAGACTGCCCTGGGTTACGTGGCACTTTGCGTCGTTCTGCAAATTCATCAAGAAGCCTACGAGAAACAGATCAAATGGCTGTATGACATTTACGACGAAGAAGTTGTCCACTACGCGTCAACAATGACAGCGCGATACACAAGAAAGCCAAAAACCACGAATAAATAAAAGGGCGAACAAAATATTTCACGATCAACGAGTCAACTGAGACTTCCGGGTCGCCATTCATCACAGCGTGGATTGAGAAATATCTATCAACAGCGCTGAGAAATTGCCGTTAACCAGCAATCCACTAGCAAAAGCTAGCAGAAATTTCCTAATTTGCTACAACTGGCGAACTAGGTCACACAGAAAATCTGGGTCAGTGTGTTCAAGCGGAACTACAGGCGAACAGGTGTAAGATTGTCAGCCGGACAGAATAAGGTAAACATTAATTAAATTCAGGAAAACTGTGTTTAGGTTAGATATTCAGGACATATCAGATAAAGTTGGAATTCGTAGTAGTGTGTGATAATAAGCAGCAAGAAATATAACTATTATCGTGTGCCGTGCCGGAAAAGTAACTTAATCCGATATATTTACAGTGCTTTTGTCAAGTGACGATTTTTCAAGTGTATTTAGACTATCGCAAAATTAATAGTGTTTCAACTGACATATTTTCAAGTGTGCGTACAATTTGGCGTTATCAATACACCGTTTCGGATTTACTTTAGAACCGACATCAATAGAACTATAATTATTTAGTAATTGAATTTATAGGTATTATGGGCGTACTTTATTGAATTTATTTTATTATATTGCAATAATTTATTATTGTAATATTGATTTTTCTGATATTTTATTTATTAATAATTATACTATTAACTATTACTTGGTGGTTATATTATTTTACACCATAGTTATTTTTTTTGATTTTGATTTATCAATTATTTATATTTTATACCAAAATTTATTAGGTTGTGAGTATATTATTGTGAACAATATAATTGTTTAATTTTTATTTATTTCTGGTTGTGATTTTGGGTAATCATTGAATCATTATTTATTTACTTCTGTAAATTTTGGGGGGCAAATATACCATTTCCATTTGATTTATCATCATCATCATTACTTATTTCTAAAATTTGTTGACAAATTGTGTATGATTATTGGTATCATAATTTTTGAGAAGTTTGTATACGACCAGTGTCATTTACTTGCAGCATAGATATATTTTGTTAGAATCTGTAGTAGATAGGATCTTAAAATTATTTACTATATTTATTTATTTAATTTATAGATAATTAATTAATTCATAGGTGATTATTTAATTAGAATTATTTAGTTCTAGTATTTAATTATTTCATAGGTAATTACTTAATTAAAAATATTTTGTATGTTTATTTAATTAAATTAAAGGTGAAATAATTAAATAGAAATTTATAAATTTAATAACTTTATTATTATATTAAATATAGTTTACGTAGGAAATTTAATTATTATTTATTTATTATTTGTGAATTAGTTACTTGAATAATTTTATGGTGATTTATTGATTAGTTATCATTACATTAGTCCTACTTTATATATCTTATAGTGACAGCGGTTTCCAATCTACAGTTACAGCTACATCTAGGCAAGGGTAGTGCAAGTTGATTAAAATAGGAGGGTAATTACTTAGTTATAAATAAAATTAGATTTTGTCAATTAATATTAGAATAAGATTAGCTAATCCCTAAGTCGGTAGTTAGCGACTTAGTTTATTATTTGTTTATTTGAATTTGGTTAAATTCAATTGTTATTGTGTCATCATTGTTGAGTGTGATAGGTATAATTGTAGATCAAAAGAAGGAGTAGCAGGAAATCTTGATCATCCTGTTCAAGAATGTCGGGAATGGCAGAACTGGTTGCGATCGGGAAGGAGTTAGGCTTACAAGGCGAGGAGCTAAGGAAATTTGTGGACCAAAAGTATAAAGAAATGAAGGCAGAAGAGAGAGCAGCGGAGATAGAGAAGGAGAAGATAAAAGCAGAAGAGGACAGAAACGAGAGGAGACTTTCGAGAGAACACGAGCTCCGTGTCAAAGAACAAGAGTTACTACTTCAGAAAGAGACAAGAGACCGTGAACTATTACTTCGAGAGAAGGAGCTACAACTGCAGAAAGAAACCAAAGAGAAGGAAGAATTACTGAAACATAAGGAATTAGCTCAACAAAAAGAGATGGAAGATAAAAGGTTACAATTGGAACAAGAGAGGTTGGCAGCACAGATTAACTCAGACAAAGAGAAAGCAGAGACACAGTTAAAAAGACAAGAAATGGAAAATGAATCCAGAAGGGAAGCAGCACTAGAGAAAGAAAGATTACACGCCGAGGAAAAGAGGTTTAAGAAATACACTGGCATAGTACGGAACTTCTGTGAAAATGAGGATATATCAGCTTATGTAACGAACTTTGAGCTTCAAATGCGGATGAACAAAGTTAACAAGGAAGACTATGCAATGATTTTCCAGAAACATTTGGGATTTGAGCCACTTAAAGTGTTGGAATCAATACCAGAATTAGAGAAAATGGATTACGATCATATGAAGGAATACCTCATGAACCATTATAAACTCAATGCAATGGGCTATAGAAAACAATACGTTGGATTAAAGCCCAGGAGTAATCAAACGTTTGTAGATTACCTTGCTGAAGTGCAAAACACGTTTCAAAAGTGGGTTGATGCAGCGAAAGTTCGAAATGATTACCAATCTTTAGTAGACCTATTAATAAGGAGTAAAATTCTAGAATCGATTCCGGAAAAAATGGCTACATCTTTAATAAAAAGAACACCTGTAAATCTGGAACAGATTAAGCAACTTGGAGAAGGTTATTATAATGCCCATCCAGACATTTTTAGTTCAACAGTGAACGATGTCATTGAGTCAGGAGCTGCAGCATATCAGAAACCTCAGCAGGGAAGATACCCATTGAAAGACAAAAGATACAACAGGAAGAAAGTTAACACAATCAACTGTAGTCATTGCAACAAACAACATGGTTCAGACGCGATTTGCGATAAAAACCCAGCATACGCAATGAGGGTTCAGGAGCTTATTGCCAAGAGAAAAAACAAGCTCAGTGACTACGATAGAGTATTGAAATGTTTTTCTTGTTTATGTTATGGCCATGTACGTAATCAATGTGCTTTTAAGCGACAGATCAAAGAAGCACACGTGGCATATGGGTTGTCTGATGAAGACTCGGGTTCTGATACGTACGAGGGTAATGCTGTTGAAGTTTGTTGCATTAATGATAACTGCTTTGTCTGTTCAGAATTTCAAGCTGAGGGTAACCTACCTTGTGGTCACCACATACCAATCCACGATGCCAGCACAGCGGCACATGACCAAGGTAGTTTAAAACTACACAAAGGTATGGTGCATGGACGAACCGTATCAGTCCTGAGAGATAGCGGCGCCACGATATCAGGAATTCGCCAGGCATTAGTGAGACCAGAAGAACTGACACATAAGTTTATAAAATGTAGAACTTTTGGTGGCACAATAGAAACATACAGACTAGGTTACATTTGTGTGTCAACACCATTTTTAACAAAGAGTATTTATGTTGCCATGTTACCATCACCGAGTGCAGATTTGATCATAGGTAACAGGAAAGACGTAGAAAACATATCTGAGGAAGACATCACTAAATGGGAGGCAGAAAACATACCAGTCATCAAAGAGAATAGGGTGAATGATGTGACTCCAATCCCCACATCAAGTCTGAAAGTATTGAGAGAAAAACAACTGAATGAGAGCAAAGGAGTAAATGATGTGACTCCAAACCCCACATCTACTGTGGAAGAAATAAAAGATGGATGTTGGAATGAAAATAATAGTATGAATGACTTGAATGAAAGCATAGAGACTGGAAGTGTCCAGAACATAACAGAAAGTGATAAAGTAAAAGGTATACATGAGAGAGTGGCAGTAATGACAAGTTTAACTGCAAACGAACAAATGATGAGAAAAAGCAATGAGAAGACTGAAAGGAAGAAGGGTAATAGTATGAAAGACAGGTATCCAAATCCCAAACCCAGTATGCAAGATCATGTACAGAAAAAACAGAGGAAAATGTATTTTAAAAAGAAAATTCGGAGCATCAATGAGCAAAATCAAAGTCAAGAAATACACGACTGTAAAATTAACAGTTTTATTCAAGGTACTTGTAATCAAAAGTCTTGCAGGTTTTTGGAACCGGAAGAAGAAACAAATAGACCAAGAACAGGTTGTTGGGCAACCAAAGGTAATCAGGACCCAAGAGACCTAAGTCGAGCACAGCAAGACAACTGCTCACAGCGTTTGTTCCAGTACGTGTGGTTACTACAACACATATTGTTCATCATATGCCAATTTCTATTTGTAACAGGTGAAATGAATCTACAACTATTCTATACTTTCAACATGATTCATGATCTACAACTTTTAGGAATGATCTATCCAGTTCGCAGAGGTTTTTTCATCTCAAAATTATATATCTCTACAGAAATTTGTCAAATTCTGAAATGTGGTACACTATTAGCATTAGTGATTCTGAAACTATTACTTTTTGATCAGGTCTATTTCAAACACTTTCCTCATTCTGAAACTTTGAATTGTTGAAACCAGTTTTAATTTGCCATGAATTTTAATAAGATGACTTGTTTGACGGTTGGTGAATGTGAATACCACCTTGCAGCATACATCTAGTACAAAAGTATTTATTACTGATGAATTGCAGAATTGAGTAACATCTATGTTGTAAAATAAATCATGTCAACATTTTGAAACAATATTTTAAAATATGAATCATCAAACTATTGCAGATCTAAATGAATCTTTTACAGATGCAGACTTTATTTTCCAGTTTTATATTGGTCACAAAAACTAACATCTACACAGCAGAAGTACAGCACATTTGAGAAAGAAGCATTAGCATTAGTTCTGAGTCTGAAGAAATTTCAAAAATATTTATTAGGGAAAGAATTCACTATCTTAACTGACAATTTAGGTCTTACTAAATTGATGACCATGGAGTCAACAAACAACGCTAGAGTGTACAGATGGGCTTTATTGATTGCACAGTTTAAATTTAAAATACAGCACATCAAAGGCATCCATAATCACCTGCCTGATGTAATGTCAAGATTGTAGGTCTTATTATAGTATGTATGTTGTGATTGTCTGAAATGTTATTGTTGATCGACACATGATTTTTATATATGTATATATATATTTTGTATAAATTGTATATATATCATGTCATTGTGACAAATACTGGACATAAGACATAAGGTGACGTGACGAAATAGTTAGAATTAGATATGAATATTTATTAAATATAAAATGTAAACAATATTTCGAAATTATTAATGCAAAAGTTGTGACGATTAAATATGCTATGTTTTGAATATATATCACTAAACAATTGAAATGTATACAGAAATTTAAGTGATACATTGTAATATTTTTGAAAACGTAAAGGGAGATAATTATTAGAAATGTAATAGACTGGTGGGAAATCACTATAGGTAGGGGAGATAAAATCCATATCACCTATAAGGGGAAATAAATGAATATCCAATGGAAATAACATCAGTGGATGTTCGGTGAGTATAGTGGCAAGGGTGGGACTTTACGGGTTTACATTATTGTTCCATAGCCGTTATGGATTTCCGCACTTGAAAGAGTAGTGCCTGGGGTGATTTTCTGTCGTTTGACAGACTGTGGGATGAGGTGGGAAACGCGTAGAGCCTTTATGGTCTTCCGCAATTGAAAGAGTATTGCCTGGGGTGTTGATTCCATTACGCCACATAATACTCACTGGGCATGACAACTGACAAAGTTCCAAAGGAAAAACATGAATTACCCAAAAGGGGTGGAATAAATTTTTTACCCATGATACCAGTGAAAATACCCAAACATTACATAATATATACTCCTATCCATTAACGATAATGAAAAAAAAAAAACAGTAAACTTTTTTTTTATACGGGGAAGGGAGAATGTAATGGGGGATATTTTCCACTCAGTTTAGGATGGTTGGGGGGAAAGCCCAAAGCTGACCAAAAACACTGTGATAGTCCAAATACTTGGATTAAACGAGAATCTGGAGATAGGTGACTAACCACTAGTTATCACGGGGACCACGGTGAAGCGACCCAAGGTCGCCACGGGAAAAGTAAAGGACCACCACGTGTTGTCACGTGAAAGGAACCCGTGGTATAAGTCAGACTTGACTCTGGTCAAGTTTAGTTTGTGTCGACCTGTTGGAGCGAGAGGACGAGCGTCTGAATGTGCGAATGTCTACGTGAGTGCCTGAGGAGAAAGGAGACCTGCCGACGAAATGTTAAGCTGAGATCGACCATGCCAGCGTGTGAGATGTCCAAACGTCAGTGATGAATCCATGGGACCCATCGTTGCTTGAATGCCTGCAGAAGACTGTTCGTTAAAGGCTGCGTGAGTTTGTGTACGAAAGCGGTTCAATTAGACATCGACTGGACGATTCTCTTTTGTCGTAAGTTTTAATACGTCAATAAAGTAATGTCTCGTAAGCTCACATCGGTGTCGGCTTGTGCCAGGTGTGTAAAGTGAAGCGTGTCAGAATATCATCCACCACACACGCATGAACACCGCCTAGACAACGAGTAGAAATACAAACCCATTCATTACAAATGGGTGCTTTCCCAATACCCCCCCCCCCTTTTTTTTCCCAGGAGGGCGTCACAGGACAGTCCAATATTTTAGAGGGTGGTAAGAGCGGATTTCCCGGCTTTCTGGTGCCTGTAACTAGCCCAAAACATCTAGAACTGGGCCTAACACCAACCCACCTACGTCCCGCGAGAGAGGGCAGCCTAGGTCCCACGACTGCATACAACTTGGGTCCCACGACTGCGTTCAGCCTATCTACCACCCCCTAAAATATTCGTCTGTCTGTTTGGGGTGAAATATTAGGATAGAAGCGAAGAAAGGCCCCTACCTGGACTGTGGTAAGCCAGAATGTGTCTTTGTCTATACCGGCTTCCGTCTTGCATGAGACAGGCATCAGGGCATGAACTCCAGTGACCCCACTCAGAGAGCACACAGTCCTCGGGGCAAGGAACGTAGCAATCGGCCCAGTTTTGCTCCGTGTGTAGACTTTCATGGCAGAACCTATCTCTGACTTTTTCCTATGATATTCAAGTGTAAAAATGGAGCAGACGTTAGTTTATTGCTAACAGTTCCGATGAGTGTGCTTAAAAATATAATGTAATAACACACGTTGGGTGGGGAATTTTTTTGTTTGTTTGGAATATGAACAAATTAAAAAAGGAAAGTTTCCGATACTGTTGCTAATCTTTTACCCGCGCCCAGTTAACCCCTAAAGTCGTCCCCTTGTGGGATGCGGATGCAATTTTTTATTTTTTTATTTAGAAGCCCCACCTCGGCTTTTGCCGTGGGCACTAAATATAACCGGGCTATAAATATGGCCTAATGGCTTTATCCGCATGGTGGCACTTTGTATTTATCGCTTGTGCGATGTCCTGGTGGGATACAACTTATCTACCTACCTTACCCGCACCCTTTTTCTTCACAATATCCAGCTTTAGAATGGAGGTGGAGGCTGTCACTGCAGCTTCCCGCTGGTCAAAGAACACGTCACACACAACGTAACTGAAACTGATTCAGAATGCATGCTGCGGAAAGTTAGAACAGGCATGATTCGTGCAGTGGCATGCTTTGTTTCAGAGAGCATTGTCGGGATCTTTTCTCCGGAGAACGTCGGTGTGTTGTAAAATGAACAGGCGGATAGACTGGCTGGCTCTGCACAACCTTGTGGAATTTTTATGCATGATATGGCCGGCATCGTTAGGGCCTTATGGAAGAACGTGTACAATTCGTAGGAGCAAATAGATTACCAGTCTAGTGACAGTATTGCAGCGTGGAGTGACGATAGACTCTGGGCGACACTCTTAGATCAAAGGCAAGACAAGACGGACGTATAATCCGAATGCTACTGGCGCCATTAGAATTGGAACTCTGCGATGGCTGCTGAAGATGGGGACAACGTGCTTATGGGAAATCCCTAAGTGCTGTGATGTCAGTTCTTGAATGAAGTTAAAAAAAAAAATTTTTTTCAGCTGCTATCCCATGGTTTTAAAGTAACTGTTCCAATGAGACAAACAGAACATAGAATGCACACACTCGGCTCCAGAACACACGCTTTTTTCGACAACAAGGGACATTACAACGATAAACACAATTACATATTATTATTTCTAGTTGTCCCTATTTTATTATGCTGTGACATCAGCTTTTAGCTAGTACTGTTGCCTGGGTGGCTAAGTGGTCTGAAGGCATGGTCTGGAGGCATGGCGTCTGTCTCGAGTGCTATAGGACTCTGGTTCGATCCCCAGTGCGGGCTGCTTTTTTTTTTCACGTACCTTCTAGTATTTTCCCCCTCAGTCCCTTGGTAGTAAGATTGCATCCCCGTGTGTATTGTTGGGCACCTAAAAATACCTTGTCATTTGGAATTTAAAAAGCAGCCTTACGGCAACATTTGGAGTTAAATATCGACCCAAAGTATATCAGGATCCACGCCGGTGCTACGAAGTTCGTACATTGCGCCGAGAATCTTCTGACCCAGACTTGAGTAAGAAGAAGAACGAATCACTTATGAGTTTACTACCCGTGTGCCATGATGTTGATCCGTTGTTTAAACCTCAAACAATAAGTTAGTTGCCCATCCTTTACAGGACGTTGCAGAACCAACCATAACAGCCCCTGGCTGTTGTGTGGTTTCTCTAGGCAATTTACATCCAGTAGTTTGCCATTGCTTTCTGGACGTTCGGCTTTCTTGATACCACTGTCGAAACCAACGCAAGTCGCATTGCCCGCAGCTGGGATCGAACCTGGCATCCCGGCATTACGAAGCGAAGCGTTCGCATCGACTCAGCCACAAAGCCGACACTCAAACAATAACACAGGCTATATCATACCCCTGCTCTGTTGAGACAGACAGCTTTCCTGAGTTGTGTCCCATCCCCACATCCTCCCCTTGTCGTAGGCTCACAGAGACCCATTGTTATGTTCCAGGTGTAGCACTGCTGCGGGAGGCATGCCTGGGTCTCGCTTAGGTGTAGGCAGGCGCTTCCTGCAGGTCCAGGGAGAGTCAGGACCTCACGAGTTCGGAATCTTCTGCCTGGACATAAATATAATATTTATCATATACATTGAAGTGGGACATCGAATGATCGAGTGGCGCAATCTTTTGCCTTGACATAAATATAATATGTATTATATACATATGAATATGGCATACAATGATCGAATGGCTAAATGAATGAATGAATGAATGAATGAATGAATGAATGAATGAATGAATGAATGAATGAACGAATGAATGAATGAATGAATTAATGAATGAGTGAATAAATAAACGAATGAATGAAGGAACTAACTAATACATGAATGAATAAATTAATGAATGAATGAATAAATGAAATGGAAATAAATTTACACCTGTCACTCAGGCTCCCACACTAGCTCCATCGTTTTCCTAGTAAGCGAACTAATAGCCCTTATGCTGATGCTTTAACAGTAAGCTGTATTAAGAGTGTTGAATGTTACACAAACTCTCTGTTCTTCTTCGTCTTTCTATTCTCTGACACAAGCTACCTCTCTAAGAAGCTGGGCAAGTCGTAAGGATCGTGTATGTGCTCTCGAGTTGTCTAGGTTACCTTCATTTCTTTTATGTTATTCTCGACATCATCGTTCCCTATTGTATGCGGCCCTGACTTGCTCTGCTTTCATTGCCATTTGGCTTGTTCTGCTTTCATTGAATTTCGTTAGTTTGACTCGCCATAGCATTTTCATTAGCTGGCCACACCACCACATCTGTTTCTCTTGAATGTTTCACTTTTTGTTTCACACTTCCTCACGTCGGCGACCGGGTTGCCCACACGCTCGTCGGGAGATGACTTCGTCGACGGTGGGGATAGTATTTTGGTCTGCTCTGATCGCATCAACACTGCAGGATTCGTTTTCAGAGCTCTTAATGGTGGGCAATTCTAAGCCTTTTTATATGGAACACAAAACCGTGTCACAGAAATAACTTAAAGCTCCCCCTTTAGGGATGCTGGTTGATTTGACATTTTATTTTCTTTCCAGCAAAGCATCTACCTTCCACTCTTCTTTATCATACTTGTTTCACCTCTTCTTTTACAACTTCGGGTTTAGAGTGAGATACTAGGTCCTGCTTCTTGCTCTTTTGGTCATCTCCTCGATGGACTCGATGCCCTGTCAAATATTTATCTGGTGTTATCTTTTCCTGCTCTACGCCCTTCTCCTCTTCTGGTGTGTGTCTGTGTGTGTTTGTGAATGTGTGTATGTGTCTGCTTGTGTGTGTGTGTGTGTGTGTGTGTTTGTGTGCATGCATTCTCTCACCTATGCTTTTGTGTTTTTTTCCTCTTGATATTTATAATATGCACATTATTATATGAAAATAACATGCTTTATTGACAAAACACAACTGCTGTGTGAAAGACGACTGTTTGGAAGGGCCGAATGTAAATAAAGTTTGTTCGTTTGTTCGTGTTTTCCTTGTTTAGTATGGCATCATGAGACTTTATTTCTTTCTAGGTAAACCATTTGATTTACTGTCTTTGTATGCAAAATTAGAAACGGGTTTGTGCCGAGGCTTCCTTTTATGACCTTACTGTTTATTTAATCTCTTCTGGTCATTCCTGTAGTCCTTCTCAAAAATTTTATTTCCATGGTTACCAACAGCTCTGGGCACCATCAACAAATCAGTCTCTCCATGAAGTAAACGATGTATCACTTCCGCTGATCTGTTACCAAGATCTCAGAATGCTTTCACCACTTTCACCCGTGATTGTTATAACATTACAAAGTATGTGGCTTAGATTTTATGAACGCGGTCGGTAATTCCGAGATACCCGCGTCAATTCTACCTGAAGATCATTTGGCAGCAAACCGTTAAGCCTTGATTTTAACAACGAAATTGAGAGTATATTAAACAATGGCAAAGTACTGAACATAAAAATGGCAAAGTAAAGCCACAAACAGATAACAAATTCTGGGGTAGGTTTCTACACCCTGTAATCTAGTAAACACAGTGTCAACGTCATAGCAGACGGGTCACAACGTTCCCCCCCCCCCCCCCCCCGACCCCCCACCGTTGCTCGTTGGTGTGCTAACGAACAAAACACGGAATGTCAATCACTGTCCTTTGTGTGAGAAAAAACTGACAACGGCTGTAGCCCCAGCAAAGCCAGTAGTAGCACACACACGCAATCATTGCTTAAAGCAGAGAGGAAACGCAACTAACCTAGTTGAAATTCCTTTCTAAAATAGCAACATATTAACAATATATCACAATAAAGACCAGCGGAAAACAATGAACAGTTACGACTATGTTTTTTTTAAAACCAGCGTACAAGTAACCTTACTCTTGATGGATTGATAAGAGCCAAATCTACTGTCCATATTTTGTATTTCGTTTCCTGACCCGTTAATGACATTATAAATAAATAAAAGCTTCCCACTACCCCTATCTTTCCTCGTGTCCTGGGAAGTAAAGTTTGATGATGACATTACCCATCAATTGTCGACTGGTCTACGCACAACGAGACTGGAACTAACTGGTTATGGCGTCTAAGGAAGGAAAAGTAGAAGTAAAATGAAAAAAAAAAAACATATTTCCACGGCATTGGGCTTATTGGGAATATAGTGTTTGACCAAAATTTCATAGTGACTCAAAAGAACAGGAATGCCAACAATATAATTCCTACTTGGTTGGGACATATCTCTCGCATGGAGAATGGTCGCATTCCAAAGGATCTCTTATATGGTGAACTGGTAACAGGAATAAGATCTGCAGGAAGGCCAGTGATACGATGTAAGGACATATGAGAACGCGACCTGAAAGATATCAACATTGGAACAGACATTTGGAAGAGACCAGCTACTCACCAACTCGTCTGGGTGCAGACAGTTAATCAAAGACGGACTGTCTGTCGCTGTTTGAAAGAAGCCGACCACAGCAAGCTATGTCGAGTAGATGTCGGAAAGAAAACGATAGCGTATCAACATTTTATTGCGGACTATGAGGCATAGACATCTAACTTCAAATTGCACTTTACAGTTATAGCTGACCTCGTTCCCAAAACCAGAGCCATATTTGTATAAGCCACAGATTGATGCCTGCAGATTATTTTATAGACAAATGGTCATTCGCTGGTTGACTTGGTCAACAACACCCCGGCCGGCCTACAGAACTGTACATGGTACCCACTTTAGAATGGGTCGACCTGGTAACCAAGGCTCACTTTTTCAGTTTTCGGGCCCGATGCTAGTATCTGTCTGCTATACTACGGCTGCTCTCACTAAGGAATGAAAAGGGCTTTGCGTTATGACTTACATACCCAATGGCAGAGTTGTCTCCCGCTTGACCAGGTCAGATCTGTCGCAGTTGGTCTCATGACACGCTGTCCATCCACTCCATTGTGACACACTGCAGTCCCAGTTGCACTCCATCGTACAGGACTGTGCCACCACTGGTTTCGGTACAGGACAGCTGGCTTCTTCCACTGGACGTTCTGTTCCGTCATCTGTAAACAGAGAATCGATCATTCAGTTTCTCCCCTCCAGGCTGCTGTTTATATGTTTACCAAACCATCCTGAGATTAAAATATCTCAGTCTGTTCCACAGACCATCAAAGAAGATCGTCAGATACCCCGTTCATCCTGTTAGGAAGTTGTAATTAGGAAGAGACAACATGCTGGATGGGCTGAAACGATGACATAGAAGGAAATCATCAATACAGCTGTTGCAGGCAACCAAGGATCGTGATCTGTGGAGACGCATGAGCGCCTACGCCAGTTGGTAGGGCACATGATGATGATGAATTAGGATACCTGTAACGGATGCACCAGAGAGTCTAACCTGCAAGGTTAAGCAGGTAAGGGCCGTAAATACTTGAACTCACACAATGTGATATCCGTACATACTCAATGGTAGTCATTGACAAGAACTGAATGTGGATACATATACAAAATAACTTACAATTTAATGAGATCACCGTTTGATCAAACTGACGTTGTATGTTTTATGGATCACGAGGCAGGTAGTGACAACGAATGAATGAATTATTGAATGAATGAATGAATGAATGAATGAATGAAAGAACAAACGAATGAATGAATGAATGAATGAATGAATGAATGAATGAATGAATGAATGAATGAATGAATGAATGAATGAATGAATGAATGAATGAATGCACAAATGAATGAAATAATGAATGCATGAATGAACGAATGAATGAATAATTGAATGAACGAATGAATGAATGAATAAATGAATGAATGAATGAATGAATGAATAAATGAATGAATGAATGAATGAATGAATGAATGAATGAATGAATGAATGAATGAATGAATGAATGAATGAATGAATGAATGAATGAATGAATGAATGAATGGGCATCAGTGCATTCTAGCTATACTTACATCTGGCTCATTAGCTACTTCAGTACAAAATTACTGCAATGTGGGTTTCCAATCTCTTTTCTGAAGATCGTGTTAATGATGATAGTAATGATGATGATGGTGGGGATGACTGCAATGATTATGATGGTAGTGGTGGTGGTGATGATGAGGATGAGGTTAATGATGGATATAATGATGATAATGATAAAAATAAAAATTAAAATTAAAAAAGTCAGAAAATGTGAACCAGCGTCATTGCACATGGTTGTAAACCATAAGTGCTCTGCCGCCAGTACGGACAGCTGATAAGAAACTGTCCGCCTGTGTCGCCGTCCGCACGCAAATCCGTAGCTACAGCGACGTTCCTCCATTTACCCCAGGGCGTTAACTCTGGTACCCATTACCTAGAGGCTGGGTGAACCCCGGGAGCCGCCCGGTTCCAAACACCGACCGTGGGCTGCAGCCAGTCGCAGCTGGATTTGAAAGCGAGTCTCCTATTGACTACGCTCCTGAATGATTATGAAAATGACGTTTTTGATGATGGCAGTGTTTACGGTTTTGCTAGTGATGATGATAACGAAGACGACGACGATGATGAGGAAGATAATAATAGTGGAGCTGGTGGTGATTTTGGTGGTTGTTGTGGTGGTGATTGTGCTGGTGGTAATGGTTGTAGTGCTAGTGATGATGGTGATAATGAAGGTGATGATGATATCAGAGAGATGACGATAGTGGTTTTGAAGACATTCATCAGTCTTACCTCCAGCCTCTACACAGATTGCTCTCCGAGTTCGGATCCCGGTCCCGCAGTGGTTGTACCCGGGCACTGACTGACACAGACTCCAAGAAGACAGGATCCATTTGCCTCTGAAGAAAGAAGTTAACATTAGATATTCAAAGCGCCACAATTGTCAGGAACGTTTATGCAGGGCTATACAACTGGCAGCCCGCGGACTAAATCTTCGCCAGTTGTATTGCGTTAATGGTCTTTCTTTGCTAAGGTTTAGCCCTCTGGCCCGTGATGATCGTCATTTTCCAAATTTTGGTCCTCTTGGTGAACTTAGTTAAATAGCCCTGGTTTAAAGGAAGGAGAAGCGACCAGGAAGGGAAGTGACCACTCCATCTCGTAAGGCCTAGAAAGTGCGAAGGCTCAACAATACACATCCCAAAGGCAGTTTACGTATTGGATCACCATCATCGTTAACACAAACATTAACATTTTGCTACACACCATTGTAAATGTTCTTCTTCTTCTTCTTCTTCTTCTTCTTCTTCTTCTTCTTCTTCTTCTTCTTCTTCTTCTTCTTCTTCTTCTTTTTTCTTCTTCTTCTTCTTCTTTTTCTTCTTCTTCTTCTTCTTCTTCTTCTTCTTCTTCTTCTTCTTCTTCTTCTTCTTCTTCTTCTTCTTCTTCTTCTTCTTCTCTTCTTCTTCTTCTTCTTCTTTTTCTTCTTCTTCTTCTTCTTCTTCTTCTTCTTCTTCTTCTTCTTCTTCTTCTTCTTCTTCTTCTTCTTCTTCTTCTTCTTCTTTTCTTCTTCTTCTTCTTCTTCTTCTTCTTCTTCTTCTTCTCTTCTTCTTCTTCTTCTTCTTCTTCTTCTTCTTCTTCTTCTTCTTCTTCTTCTTTTTCTTCTTCTTCTTCTTCTTCTTCTTCTTCTTCTTCTTCTTCTTCTTCTTCTTCTTCTTCTTCTTCTTCTTCTTCTTCTTCTTCTTCTTCTTCTTCTTCTTCTTCTTCTTCTTCTTCTTCTTCTTCTTCTTCTTCTTCTTCTTCTTCTTCTTCTTCTTCTTCTTCTTCTTCTTCTTCTTCTTCTTCTTCTTCTTCTTCTTCTTCTTCTTCTTCTTCTTCTTTTTCTTCTTCTTCTTCTTCTTTTCTTCTTCTTCTTCTTCTTCTTCTTCTTCTTCTTCTTCTTCTTCTTCTTCTTCTTCTTCTTCTTCTTCTTCTTCTTCTTCTTCTTCTTCTTCTTCTTCTTCGTATTCACAGGCTGTAAGTTCTGGTTATTCGTCCACTTCCTCCTATTCCAGAAACTGAGTGTTACGTGTGCATCCGTTTGACGAATCTAAATAATTTGTATGCAGACTGTTAGTTCCTTGCCTCTTAGGTTGATGCACTCCGACTTCGAAGGAAGCTACCATTTAGTCGACTCTTACGACATGCTTTTGGGTAGGCAGTGGGTCTTTTCTTGTTTACCATATAATAGCCCTGTAACCCACACGGGATATTGTAAACCATATTGGGCTAATATTCGACTCCTCTATCATATTCCATCCTTTTGATATCCTGGATGTAATTCAGTTAGGCACCTGTGGCCTCTCTCAGTAATGTCGTCATGGGATTTATCTTGGCGTCGTCGTTACCTGAGTTTTTTTTTTGTTTTTTTTTGTTTCTCACAGCAGTGCCTGTTTATTGAATATTTGACTGCTCCTCCTTGTGACATGCTTGATACATTCCTAGCTTCGTTGCTCCAGAAAGAAAGAAAGAAAGAAAGAAAGAAAGAAAGAAAGAAAGAAAGAAAGAAAGAAAGAAAGAAAGAAAGAAAGAAAGAAAGAAAGAAAGAAAGAAAGAAAGAAAGAAAGAAAGAAAGAAAGAAAAAGAAAGAAAGAAAGAAAGAAAGAAAGAAAGAAAGAAAGAAAGAAAGAAAGAAAGAAAGAAAGAAAGAAAGAAAGAAAGAGAAAAGAAAGAAAAAAGAAAGAAAGAAAGAAAGAAAGAAAGAAAGAAAGAAAGAAAGAAAGAAAGAAAGAAAAAGAAAGAAAGAAAGAAAGAAAGAAAGAAAGAAAGAAAGAAAGAAAGAAAGAAAGAAAGAAAGGAAGGAAGAAAGAAAGAAAGAAAGAAAGAAAAGAAAGAAAGAAAGAAAGAAAGAAAGAAAGAAAGAAAGAAAGAAAGAAAGAAAGAAAGAAAGAAAGAAAGAAAGAAAGAAAGAAAGAAAGAAAGAAAGAAAGAAAGAAAGAAAGAAAGAGAGAGAGAAAGAAAGAAAGAAAGAAAGAAAGAAAGAAAGAAAGAAAGAAAGAAAGAAAGAAAGAAAGAAAGAAAGAAAGAAAGAAAGAAAGAAAGAAAGAAAGAAAGAAAGAAAGAAAGAAAGACGACTCACATAGATACAACCGAGGCTAGCGACCGAAGTCTTTATCTAAGACAGACAAGAAGAAGAAATAAGTCCCAGCTAGAGACGGGTAAGTCAAGAGGAGAAATCAATAGAAGGGAAATGCAAAAACTGAGAATAGTTCTAACTGTTGAGAAACGAACCATAAATGAAGACTGCTAGAAAAAGCAGGGTCAAAATAAAAAACAGACAACGACGTTTAGTTCACGAAACAATTACGAAAAACAAAACAAGTACACAACGAAGAACACGGATTTAGATAAAGGCACGCTGAATATTGTAAAGCGAGTAAAGTTCAAATCCACCATAGGTTAAAGGTCAAAGTCGACAGGATCGACTTTTTTTGCAGCGGGTTTTATCGAATCTGGCTCGGTCTCCCTCCACAGAACCGCTAGCCGCCTGCTGAGAGTGCAGCACAGAGCACGAGCTCTGTAGCTCCCGCGACGATCCCCATGAAACTCAGTAAAAATTACACTCGTGGACTAAAGGGCGCAGCTGTAGATCGAACCCACGACCTTCAGAAAGCGGCTTTACCACTTCGCCACAAAATTGCACAACTAGGGGAAAAATCCCGGTGACACAAGCTGCCACCATTCGGATTAGAATTCCTCGGGCGCAGGTCCCAGAATCCCGTTCAACCGTTACATTATATGAGGGCCGCCGACGACAGCCTGGGTGGGGTTTTAGAACAACACACACAAAAACTGAGTCCCATATTTGGTGTATGCTTGTGAATGACGCAGAATATTGATTCCTGCTTGGCTAACTACACCAACTGTTACTTGTCTCAGTAAACAATTAGTGAATATGTTTACAGTGAAACCGCGTTAATACGAACTCGCCTAAAAGCACACTCGGTTAACATGAACAGAATTGTTCATCAAGATGGGACATACACTCATCCATACATGTATTAGTGCTCTGTTATGGGGAGTTTATTTTAACGTTTGATCATTTAGAATTCGTAGTAACAAGGTTTTACTGTATGTGATGTTCAAGCGAAAATAAATCACCTGTTGCAAGGTCGCAGTAAACTGCTATCTTCTTTGCTTAGTTTGATGTAGTCGATGAGAGCTGAAGGGCAGGGTTCTCCGTCACCTAAAGGCATTTGTATTATCTGTGAGACAAACAAGCTCAAATGTGATGCATATAAACATGGACATAGAAAAGGGAGGGACAAAATGGAAAAGATAACTACATTCAGTCTACGAAACGAAAAGGAAACAAAAGGGAATTTCCGAATATTTGTTAAAGTTAAAGATAGTTTGTTAAAGGTACTAGGCAGAAGAAAGGACTGTAAGTCTATAAAAACACATTTTTACATATGTAAGAATGGGTGAGGAAGCCGCCGTGGTATCGGGGCTAGTCGCTCGCCTACGGTTCGGAGGGTTGTTCTGTTCCTGACGAGTGCCAGGTATTTAAAAAAAAATGTCTTTGGCTCCTAGGTTCACCCATCCTTGAGTAGGTACCAGGTGCAGTCCTGGGAAGTAAAGGCGACCACATCACTAACCAAGTGCCGTTTAGTCTATGAAATATAGGTCTAGCCCTATATACCCAATACGCCTGAAGGTGTGGAACAGGGTCCGTTACTTTTTACTTACGAGTTTGTGAAGGAGGAATTATATGTGGATCAGGCAAGGAGAAACGTATGAGAGGAAGTGAACGACGAGTTTATAATCAGTGTGCTATGGAAACAGTCATCTAAATACATTTGCTGCAGGAGACCGAGCGCCTGTGGGTATTCCGGTGTGCTTTAATGTTGATTCTTAAATCAGTAAATTAGGGTCAAATTTGTTTTCTTTGTGTAACATGTGCAGCTGCACAGCACGGCAAAAATTTGCTGTTGCGACAATCTGATAAGGGTAAAATATAAGTAGAAAATGAAAAGAAAATGTCAGCATCTGTGTTTCTTTTTACCATTATCAAAGTTTCGCCTTGTTTTGCGTATCAACACTGCAGTCGGACCCCACCTTGTATGCTTTATCTTTTTATTGTGCTATTATTTTTACATATTTAAGCTTTAATCTAAAATAGACGTAATGGGTGTCCATTCCAAGGTTTTTTTTTTTTTTTTTTTTTTTTTTTTTTTTTTTTTTTTTTTTTTTTGCATTTTGACCGTGTGTGGCTTTTTCAATCAGAACTCTGATCACTGTGTTTGACTTGTGTAGTAACATTATCTAATCTGGGGTAGTTGCAAGTGGTGAGGTTGTCTAGCCAAACTGTTCCTTGGAGGATCCGATATCCCTCATCCTTGGAGTGGAGCTGGATGGTTGATGAAACTGTGGGTTCACTGCCTTGACCAAACGAGCCACCTTCACAACAAATCGCCATTCCAGAGTGCCTCGTATAATTAAGCAGTGACACACATGTTGACATGTGACTCCACCTTTTCGTGACAATATTATTATTATTAGTTGACCTTCGTTGGTACAATGTTTCTTTGATATGAACTCTTAATTTCACAGTCTCAGGAATTGGCATTAGCAAGGGTTTACTGTAAATATCAGGGAGTCGCCGTGACGTTGGCGGCTAGAGGCCCGCATGCGGATCGGAAAGTCGTGGGTTAGCGTCTTGAAGAAGCCAAAAACGAATATGACTCCCAGGTCAACCCAGCCTTGAGAGGGTACTAGGTTCAGTCCTGGGAAGTAAAGGCGGCCGGCGTAATGCTGGCCACATCACCAAGTGCCGATTGGTCTATACAATTTAGGTCTAGCCCTGTATTCCCAATACGCCTTCAGGCGTGGAAAAGGGACCTTTACTCGCTTACTGTAAACATCAGATGATGTTAATTCATAGCTTGGCAGTGTCTGAACGAGAGGACCAGCTGGCAAGCAAGGCACTAGACTGTATTTAAAAACAGTTGGCCCATAAAAACCTTAAAAATAAAAACCGCGCGTTTTTGTAAGATGAAGCAAAAATACATACCACCCAGTGGGCTCAAATAAAGACAACCAGTCAGTAGCCTGTCCTTTGCAGAACCTCACTCCCATAACAACCTTCCGGAAAACTTCTCAAACACAAGCAAGATGTCCCGCGTCTGATTCACCCATCTGGAGATTATCCGCCACATCCTGCACCCATTTTCTCTTTGGCCTCTCTCTTCCTCTCTTCAAAGGCATATACCCCTCCATTATTGTTCCCACCAAACTTTCGTAACGTTTCTAGTGACCAAAATATTTTAATTCTCTGTGTTTTATCCTCTTTATTAGCCAACCTTTTTCAGTATTCAGTACTTGAAGTATGGATGCGTTTGTTCTTTTCTTTACCCATGATATTTTTAGAACGCCTCTCTAACTTTTGTATTCAAAGTCATTAATGAGCTCTTCAGTTTGTTTAAAAGTGTCCATGTCTCACAAGCGTATGTTCCAATGGGAAATATTCATGCTCTTAGAAATCAAATTTGTGTAGTTCTGTCTGTCTCACTCCACAATTTATTCAGTTGTTTAGTCTCTGAAGAGCAATAGATAATCGTCGTTTAATTTCTTTCATTTTGTCACTATAGTTGTTAATATGAAGACAGGAAACACCATGCCAAGAGGCGTCACTGGAAACGCACTAGCTAAACACAACCAAGGAACCAACCCAGCCAACCAGCCAACCAAGCAATAGGTCAATCCAGCCAACTGCTCAACCTAGTCAACCAGCCAACCAAATAACTAGCCAGCCAACTCACCCAAGCAGTCAGCCCAGACCACCCAGACAACCCAGCCAACTACACAACCCAGCCAACCTTGCCTATTCAGCCAACCAGTCAACCTAACTAACCCAGTCAACTCAGCCAGCCAACCAGACCACAAGCCAACCAGCCAAACAGTCAGCCAGTCATAGAAATTGAATGATATTATCCATTTCGCTAAGCATATTTTAATATTAAATGCCATAGCACTGCTCGTATGGATCGTTCAAAAAAAATTACATTATGTATGACAGATCAGGCAAGAATGTCGAATGCAACACACGATACATACACACATGCTCACTTACTCACACACACGAATATACACACACACACACACACACACACACACTTCCTCATCATCATCAGGTGCCTTGCCGACTGGCGTGGGCGATCATGCCTCTCCATAATCTGCGATCTCCTGCAGCAGATGTACACACACACTTAGACATACATATATGAGTGTTGGCGTCTAAGGCTTAGACGTTGCGAACGCTGTTTATAATTCCGAGATACCCGGTTCGATTGTATCATCTTGGACTGATTAGACAGCAGACCACTTTGCTTTGATTTCGACAATGGTATCGAGAGCTGACTGGTTAGGAAGCAATAGCAAACTAGTGGCCGTGAAATTGCCAGAAAAGAATATTAAAATCCTAAAAATGCTGGGGTTGGTTCTGCAACGTACTCAAAATGATAGGCACTTACTAAATGTGTCTGTTTAGCGTGCATGTATATAAATGTAATGACTGCCCTTTTGTGTCTCCTCCACACTGGCTATCTGTGGTGCAGAGTTAACACTGGCTCTAATATCTAGAGGTTCACAACTCAATCAACGCAGACATGATCCTCTTCATGGTCACACAACGTCTAACAACGGTTAACACCAGCGGCACATTTCACGAGTTTATTTACACGTTAGCTCAATACACAAATCACAGGTGAATCCACTTACAGCATTCGGACAATAGACGTTGACATATTCACAGCTGGCTTTGACAATCAAACAGGATACCATTCACAGCTGGCCTTCTCGATCATTCATTCCTCACCGATTCAAATCCACGTGCTCTAGTCATTCTCCATTCATCTTCACAGCTTCATTTTCCATCCTTTCTCTCTGGGGCCCAGTCACCGAATGCCCACCTGATTCTCAATCCCCCAGATCTCCTCATTCACACGTGACACACTCTTTCCTGTCGTTTCACCATATCTCCGTGAAACACATGCTCTCAGGGACTTCCCCAGTTATGCCAATCATCGCCTGACATTATCCCTATTTATAACATCATTACAATAAACAAACGGCAGATCTATAGTGATTAGAATGATGAGAATGCTACAAACAGATGAAAAGATTAATACAGATGTTTAAAAAAACACACACACACACACACACACAAAACCCACACTGGTTCACAATAGCAATTGATCGCCCACGTCAGAAGGAGGTAATCTATATTCTTTCGCTATGCTATGAGATCGGGAAACATGGAGTGCATCGTGACGGTGGACACGTTAGAGGAGAAAACACGCAGAAGGAGACGGAGAGAGAAGCCGCCGGATAGCGTGACGTTAAGGCTTGGAAGATCATCTGTGTCAGAAATGACTGCAAGTACACAAGAGAGAAAGTTGTGGATAGACATGACTACCAAAGCCACACGGCATGGACTCTACGAAGCAAACCAAAGCCACACGGCATGGACTCTACGAAGAAGACCCATAACAGCTACGGCGTCTGGGTGTGAAATGTTGCACAATCACAAATTCTAGCTCACCATATGTGAGGTGATATGACCAGCCCTCTTTCTCGGCGCTTTCCTTTCCACAAACAATTCCTAAACATTTACGAGATTTCGTCGAAGAACCGTACTCTTGAAAGAAAATAGCTTCGTCTCTACTGGATCTTAAACAATTGTCACTGATTTAACCACACAACACAATGCAATTGTGCACACACACACACACACATACATATACACAAATACACACAAACACACTTTGACAGTAGAATAGTAAATGCGTTTTTATAATTTCAATATCCTGGGATCTACATAGCTGCAGGTTAATTGACAGCAGACCGATTTGCATGGATACAGCATTCGACATTGTTCGACCGTGCAGTTAGCACTTGCGAAATGGAAAGTAGAGACAATAGGACGCTTGGTAGAAAACACATACAGCCAACGCATGCTTGCTTTTGTATGTGATGTCATGCAAATATTAGCAGTCATCTAGCTAACTGACTAGCTAACTAACCGACTAGCTACTTGAATGACTAGTTAACTACATGACTAACTAAAACACTGACTAGCTAACTAACAGACTAGCTACTTGAATGACTAGTTAACTACATGACTAACTAAAACACTGACTAGCTAACTAACAGACTAGCTACTTGAATGACTAGTTAACTACATGACTAACTAAAACAGTGACTA